CAGCGGCATGACGTCCTCTTGTAGTTTCGAGCCACAAGCAGCGCGTACAGAACGACGATAAACGGACGAGAGTCGCTGTCGGTCCTTGGCGGATAGCTTCATTGCAAAGCAAGAGCAGCAGTATAATAAGTCAGGCAGGATAACCGAGAGGATAAACTGCCGTGTTGCCTTCAAACTTAGTTGCCGAAAACACCGTCGAAGAGCGCCAATTTTCGTGCAAGTCTTCCTAACGATAAAGTCTATGTGACCAGACCAAGAAACATCACTGTCTACAATGACTCCCAGGATTCTCGTGCTAGACACTTGAGTCAGAGGCTGTTGGTTAAAAACGATTGGAGTTGAGAGGGGTTGAGAAGACTTAGAAATCATCAAAGTTACAGTCTTTGTTGTATTAATGCGCAGCCCAAGCTCGTCTAGATCCACAGAAATTGCAGATAACGAATCAGTAACGGTAGCGACGGCCTCAGCTTGTGTACGTCTGCTGGCATACAACGTCATGTCGTCAGCGAACATCGGGAGCTTGCAAGAAAAGGCCTCTGCTGTCAATGGGAGCTTCCGTACATATATGTTAAATAGCACCGGACCCAGAATGGTGCCCTGTGGCACGCCACTAGTGATTGCCACCAACGGAGATGTTCCAGTGTGGGTAACCACCCGCTGTTGTCTGGCACAAAGGTATGATCGGAACCAGGCCAGGGCCACTCCCGAAATACCGACAGCTGCGAGAGCAAGAAGAAGCTGTTGATGCTTCACCATATCGAACGCTTTTTTCAAATCAATACAGACAACCGCCGTATGCAGTCCAGCGTCGCGCGAGACAAGCCAGTCGTTCGTAACCTTGGTGAGAAGCTGTCCGGTAGAACGGTGCTTCCGAAAGCCAAACTGGTCCACATGGAATGGGCAACGATCATTAAAAAAAAGATGTATACGAGAAAACACAAGCCCCTCCAGGAGCTTGGCTAGGATAGATGTTAAAGACACTGGGCGGTAGTTAGAAGGGCAGTCGCGGGGGCCTTGAGTTGACTTCAGAATTGGTGTAATGTTTGCAATTTTGAACAAGGATGGGAATTGACTAGACGAGAGGGAAGTGTTGAATAAGATAGCAAGTGATAGAGCAATTACGTCTTTTGATATTTTAAGTAGACACGGAAGAATGCCGTCCGGTCCAGGGGCTTTATTACTTTGGAGGTCACCGATCCGAAGCTTCACCTCTGCTACTGTAACGGCTGAAAACGTAGTAAGGTCGTCGGATTTAGCAGGTCCCATTGGGAGCTTGTAATTCGCTTCCTTATCTGTGACAATCGAGTGAAAATAGTCGTTCAATCGCTCAGGTGGGATGGTAACTGTTTGCTTCGGAGAGGAACGCTTTGTGATCATATTCAAGGCTTTCCAGAACTGCCGAGGCTCCCGTTCATACCGCTGGCACTGGTCTGAAAAGTAAAGATTCTGTAGGTGTCGATACAAGTTATTGCACTGGTTGCGCAGCCGCTTGAATTGTACAGATAGGCTCTCGTCTCGAAAGTTAGTAGCTTTTAGTTTCTTGAAGACCGATTTGCGCTTTCTAATCAAGGCAAGGAGTGGCGAGGTCATGAACGGGCAATTTTTCCGACGGGACTTCCTGTGTTTCCTGGTTACGTACGGTGCGATGATATCAAGCACAGCATTGACTTTCCCTGTCCACTCGTCCAACATCAGGTCTGGGGTACGGGATGTAAAGATATGAAGATCGGAGGACAGCAGCATATCGCAGAAACGCTGAGCGTTGAAGTTCCGGTAGTCTCTGCGTGTTTGATGGGTAGTAGTATTGCTCCGCGCATCCATGATGGGCACTGGGACGGAAGTAATGACGAGGCGATGGTCTGAAAACTCACAGTCCACGACAGAGGCTGACGGAACTCGATCAATGTTTGTGAGAATACAGTCAATGGATGTACGGGTAGAGCCTGTTATTCTTGTTGCTTCAGTTACTTTATTGGCCAGTCTGCACGGAAGTAGCAACGTGTCTTTGAGATGGTGGAACGCACTGGACGTCTGACGCAGAAAGTCCACATTTATGTCACCTAGCAACACAATATTCTCGCCGTCCAGCTGCTCCGTGGATGTAGCGAGCCGATTCCAAAACTCTACCGGCTCGGATGGGGGACGGTATATGCAACCAAACAAGGTACTATCTTTGCCTGTGCCAGCTCTAAGCCACATCAACTCTAGACTGGAGTGTGAGTGGTCCAAGATGTGCTTAGCCTTAACATGTTCCTTTACGAAGATGCAGATCCCGCCTCCTTTACGACATGGAGTGCAGGAGGATAGGCAAGTGCATCCATCAGCGCACGGCCTGTCTCGACGTAAGAGAATTGTGCCTGGTACAGAAACCTCAGTGTCCGAGATGCTTGAGTCGAGCCACGTTTCCGTAACCGCCAGCAGATCTAGGCAGTGCTCATCTATTAGCTTAGTTATAACATGGGTTTTATGTCGTAGGCTGCAAATGTTTATGTGGCCAACATTTAGTCGGTTGGATGGATGAATTGTAGAGTAGAATGCTGGGGTTGAGGGATTTGGAGACGAAGGGGTGAACACAGGAGCATGCGGGTTCAGGGGCTGTGAATACCGGTAGGTGGTGTGTGGCATTATGTGAGTGCTGGAGCTGTGCCGTCAGCACCAAAGCGCCATTCACGAACTGCAAAACCGAGCGAGTCCGGCCAAAATGCTTTGTCCTGTACGGTGGTGGCGTCCGACGCCAGCACTGTGACCCTGGCAAACCCTGTTCGGAAGCGCTCCGAGGTGTACACAACACTCTGCACGATGTGTACATCCTGTGCCTGACAATGCTCTGCAATTGATTTGGCATCACATTCGGGGTCCACGTTGCCAACGTAGAACACTTTGACTCTTGGCTTACCCGTTAGTGCACATCGGGTGGTGCTCTTTGGAAGCTTGGGTGCCAGCCAGCGAGACGATTCCTGTCGCCTGTACGGCTTGGGAGGCTGGCGTTGTGGCCTTTGGGCAGCTGGGGCAGCTGCAGGGGCAGTATTTTTGGGCTGCAATGCTGGTTGTTGGTGCAAAGTTTCTGCATACGTGGGTCGATGTTGTGGGGTGGAGGATACGGTTTTGGTAAAGCTTGGTTCAGTGGGGTCATTGTTCAAAGTTTGAATCACCGTATCGTACCTCAGCATGCAATGTACTACCCGAAGTACTGAATTTACTTCTTTTGTACTCTGTAATCTAATGTATCTTCTACCTCTTCTCCCTTACGAACATACTTTTCTCATTTTCCATACTTACTTGGAGACTCCCTTCGATAGGCGCTAGGCGTCTATTTGCCTCTGGAGGATCCGTGAAATAAAAATCAATCAATCAATCAATTTCGCACTTTATTGCGTTTTTTGGTGAATATCGCCCTTTTTGAGCTTTTTTTAGCTGAAAAAGTGCTAAAATCTGTTTGCTCATGCGTGCGATCACAGTTTCCGAGTGCTCGATATCGCGATGGGCCTTGGCACGCCGCTTTTTTGGGGGGTAACAAGTAAGTTGGTGAAGCTTGTACCCGGGTACCCGGTGGACACAATGCTGTAAAAAGTGGGGTTTTTGAACTTTACTTCCTGGTTTGCCTTTCTAGGACCCATAAATGGAAAAGTGCGTATTCATTTCTCATCTTGAGTTCATATCTGAACATGTATCATGGCTATGCTTCACTGAAAAAGAGCACTTTTTGCCTGTTTTCACTGAAAAAAGAGCACTTTTTCAGCATATTTTGAGGGACGCGAAAAGCACTAAGTGCGAATTAAAAAAGCACCTTTGGGAAAGGGCTAGTGATGGATCGAGAGGAACAGTACTGCGTCCCCAGTGTGGTCGGGTTAAGCACACCGAGTCCGCCTTCACGGCAGGGGAGAGAGAAGAGATGTCTGAGAGCGGAGTCAATAGGCTGTCCCGTCAAGTTTGGTAGAAGCTTGGTGTAGATGATGTGCTCAACGGGTGCCATGGCTTCCGGAGCCTCCTTCTCAACTCGGCAGAGGAACATCCACCTGCTGGCGAGGCCACGCGTGAAGGCTGCATATGCTGCTTGTGGTTGAGATAGGGCAAAGGAGGACAGCACATCGATCTCCTTGCACCATGCATCTGCCTTCTTCTGGAGGTAATCCTGCATAAAGGCAGGAGTGCCTATCGCCGCACCGAGATACCGATGCCCCTCAGCAGTTATCTGGATGCCAGTATCAGCGAAGATCCTCGTGGCTTCTTCCAGGCAGTCCAGTTTCACGACCAGTACGGATTTTGCCGCGTTAAGGTGGTACCCGAAGCCTGGGCCACGGGACATGAGGGAATCCCACCACGTACGGAGGCGGCGTAGCCTACCGCCAGCAGACTCGTTAGATGTCACACTTTACACTTTACACTCTACGCGTATAGTGTGTATGTGTGTGATGTGTGTGCGTATGTGCGTGTGTGCGTATGTGCGTGTGTGTGCGTATGTGCGTGTGTGTGGTCATTAATCACTGTGGTGTGTGTGGTGTATCCAAAACGGATGCGAGTTGTGGAACTGGTCGTCGGTAAAATGCGGAGAGGAAGAGTATGGTATGGTATGCTTCATTTTTTTTTAAAATTAAGCTCAGCCGACCAGAGGCCTCAGCTTCATAGCTCCATGGACGCAGTGTGCTGCTATGTAGGGGAAGCGATCAGTAGTGTACCAATCCATGATGTACTGCTATGATGTAGGGGAAGCTAGCGATGTGTTCAGTGTTTGCATCGGGGGGGGGGGCTCTGCTCTTCTGAGCGCCGGGCAGGCCTAGGAGGCCAGAGACGCAGAGTCCGCTTTACTTGCATCACTTGTTCTGCCTGAAGTGAATGCTGTGGTGTGTGGGTGGCACTGGGTGTGCAAATACTGTAGGTCCGGTCATGTGGTTACAGGTGGTGGGGTACCGGGTGGGCTTTTGATAGTCCCTCAGCACTACAGAGACTGACGCAACACCTAAGGCCAGTAAGGGCATACACTCCAAAGCTCAGCAGCAGCGTAAACCCACACAGTCAGTACTTGCCTGTAGACTGACGTCGCAATGGCATCAACTCTGGGCAGCGCAATCATTACTGTGACCATCAAAGAAGTAAAGGCACGGCCGTAACGTTGCCCTTTCGCCTATCCAGAGAGTAAGCAGGCAATAATGTGAGACACAGTGACACTACACAATAAGATTCTACTCTTGTTATACAATTATGTTCATCTAGATGATGGGCAGTGAAACAAGAACAAGGCGCATGCATGCATGCATGGGAACTGGGCAAGATCATTGACTTCCCGGCATGGTCAGTTCTGCCATCTGTATGGAATGAAGTCATGCTGGTTGAAGAAGTCGCACTGCGCTTTGTGATAGACATCCCGCATGACCGGTTTGTACAGCAAATTGAACGTGCCGTGCTCTGCCGTCTTCCAGTCTGGATGAGGAGGCTGGCCACGCGCAAAGCGACTGAACCACGCCTGCATCACCGTAACTAACTGCCAGTCGTGGGTGTCTGGTTGCCACCGTGGGTCAGCTGGAAAGGTGAAGTTAAACAATGCATACAATCCCCATGTGTGGTAAGCGTAACGTGCACCGCCCTCCTGTGCACCCACCGAGGGACACTGCACCACGGCATAGTTGTAGACGTCCGATTTGAAGTGAGCCGCGTAGAACTGCGCGAGCAGATGCGTGGGACAGGTGATACGGATGTCCGAGGTCATGCTGGTCAGCAAATACTCCGGTGTTCCGGTGACACACGTCCCTCCGGTGTCCGGCGTGGCCATATCATGCGGGTACAGTTGACTGACGGCGCGGTATACATTCGTACCGTTGATTGCCGGGTCTTTCTTGAATGTGTTCATGTGCTGCTGCACATAGTCATCGTACTGCTTCCACGAATAGTATCGCACATTCACCGGTGGCGCAATGTCGTTTTCTTGTCCCGCCGATCCAATCACTATGGGCACGTCATTCACTTTGCCCTGGGCTATCACGTCCAGCGATGGCTCCGGTATCAGAACACCGTCCACCACCAGGATCTTGCCCACGATCACGCCGTACGTCGGCAAGTCCCACGCATCGCCGCCGTTCCAGTACGGGTACACGTTGAACGGGATGAGGTACATGAGCGTCTCTGCGGACGTGTTGCGCAGGCATGCCGCCGTGCTGCAGCCCGTCCCCGTGAGGAACACCTGATTGTCCTTGTTGGCCTCTTCCATTGTAGCATTGATGGTCGTGGAGGCGCTCATCACCACTGCCCTGTGAAACAGACCGTTCGCGAGCGGAGATGACAAGATTGCAACCACACTGGTTCCACCACCGCTCTGCCCGAGGATCGTTACCTGGCTTTTGTCACCACCAAATGCTTCAATGTTTTGCTGTACCCACGACAAGCCCAGGATTTGGTCGTAGAAGCCGTAATTTCCAGACCCGTTTCCTTCGTTCAGTACATCCAGGGACAGGAAACCGAACACATTCAGCCTGTAGTTGAGACTTACGGCAACAACGCCAGTATTCCTAGCAAATACAGGGGTGGGGGTATAGCCTGCATCACCACCTGATCCCGACATCTCACCACCTCCATGGATCCACACTAGAACAGGCAGCAAACCGGTAGTGACGTTGCTGCTGCTGCTGCTGCCGGGCACAGTTCTCTGTGTCGCCGATGCCGATGCCGTCTGTAGGTTGTACGTGATCACATTGATAAATAGACAATCCTCGCTGCCCACTGGTCCACCGTTCATTTGCATGCACTCGCTGCCGTACTCCGCTGCATCCCATGTTCCGTTCCAACAGGAGCCGTCCGCTGTGTCCAGCAGAGAGCTGGGCTTCCATCGCCTCTCATCCGTAGGTGCCTTGCCATATGGTATTCCCTTGAAGACAGCTGCACCCTCCTCCATTGTACCCTTCACTTCACCACAATGGATTGACGCAGTGGGCGAGGCGGCTTCGTCGCTTGCAAGCTTGCTCTCTGCACGAGTCAAGAGAGATATGGTCGTTGCTAGCAGCAGGACGATGGCCGGGAAGTAGGGACGTGCCATGCCTTTCCTTCGCAGCCGGGGCGAGAACTTAATTGGATCGTTTATGTTTTGGTCAGCCGCCAGGGTACAAGTAATTCATTCACTGGCGAAATGGACTGAAGCCCCTACTGTACTACTACTAGTACTAAACCTGTCCAATGGTAATGCATGTACATTGTATTCATTCTGTAATTGCGTTATCAAAAGTCATTATTCATCACCACGGCACTGCTAGTACATGACATGCTGCATTGCCTGATCGATCTGGTGATCCACCTAATAATCCTTTTCAAAGTACATTGTACCGAAAGACGAGGACTGGTAGTGGTACTAGTACGTAGTAGGAGATCTACAGTGCAAGTAAACGTCATAATGTAAAATAATTGTAAACGTTATGCAAGCATTGCCTAGCATGCCTGTCGATTTCCACCAAGTGAGTAATTCCACTGGGGCGTCGTAAAACACCATATCACTCCATATTTTACGACTCCTTGATTTCCAACAGAACAGGAGATGTAGCAAGCGGGTACCTGACCTGTAGTGTAAAGCTTTTGAAAGAATGACTTACAGTGCATGAGAAGCTAGAAAGGCCGCTGTCTTTTGGGTGCCATACCAAGCACAGAGGACTCCCAGGGCGAGGGGATATCCGGGGATAACTAGACCCGAGATGGGGATTGGGATGTGTTACCGTGTGCATGCACCCAACACCTTATCGGAACAACTCAGGCAATTGTGTACATTGTCAAGATGTCTGAGAGTGTCCCGGACCCCACAAACTGTGACGAGGTGACCACCTACAGCCATGATACAGCCATGATGATCATCATTGATATGAACATTCTAGCATCTTTCCTTCCCTTCTTGAACAGTTATTGAATGTTTCTTTAGGTTTTCCAACTCGTGCTGTCACAGACAGCCCGACGGGTGGACGATCTCGCAGCTTACAGGTAACCAAGATCTTCCCGGTGTGGGGACTGGATTGATGTGTGCGTAATCACGAAGGTGACCAGACTTTCGCAATGTCTGAAAAACCCTCAACTTAAGTTTCAGTCTTTTAAAGAGTATAGAATGGGCATAAAAAGGAAACGGCATTTCATTCCATATAATAATATAGTATGACCGGTAATAATTAGACTCGGGTGGAGAGCCAAGGATGAATTTATAAGAAGAAAAGAGGACCAAAGAGCTATAAGTCACGCTGCAATATCCACTAACACCACCAGCCCCATCATGTCAGTACCATTGGTCAGTGTCATGCAATGTTATCGCATGAGCTGAGTGTAAAGTAACGGGTGGTGTTAGTGGATATTATGGCGTAACTTGTAGCTCTTTGGACCGGTAATACTAATTCAATGAAGAAGCAAATGACTTCCAACTTCAGTCAAAATGCTAAGTCTTGTAAACCTGGTTGTGAATGAAAAGTATAATCTGGTGTAAACGCCACATGCGGTAGATCCACAAATCCAGCTCAAGGTGAATAATTATATTATATAGGGCCTGAACATGTTTGGTGGAGAGCACAGCAAAGGCAAAGGCTCCGTGTGGAGTGACTCACCCTAACAGTACGGGGGGAGGGGGCTCGATTTAGTTTATCCACTGGTATGGGATAAACCCATGCTGGTTGAAAAAGTCACACTGCTCTCGGTGATACAAGTCACGCATTTCCGGCTTATAAATCAGGGAGAATGATCCGTGCTCAACCGTCTTCCATTGTGGATGGGGTACTTCACCATGAACAAATTTAGAGAACCAGGCCTGCATCATAGTCACCAGTGCCCAGTCTTTGGCATCTGGCTTGAAGCCGGGCTTGGGTGGAAATGTTAAATTGAACAGCAAATTTGAATCCCATGTGTGGTACGAATATCTGGCCGGATACTCACGGGCCGTAGCTGACGGGCACTGCACAGCTACGTAGCTGTAGACTTGTGACTTGAAATACTTTGCATAGTACTGTGCTAGGAGAATGGAAGGACAGGTAACTCTGATGTCCGAGATCATACTGGTGAGCAGATATTCCGGTGTGCCGGTCACGCACGTACCACCGCTGGGCGGTGATGCAAAGTCGTGCGGGTACAGACGGCTGACCTCCTGAAAGAGACTGGTTGAGTGATTGTGTCCAGACGCCGCTGCAGCCGGGAATGTTAGCATGTGCTCCTTTACATTCTGGTCATATTCATGCCAGGTGTAGTTGGTTATGCCTGGCGGTGGTGCAATGTCCACTTCTTGGCCAGTTGAGCCGACGATGATTCGCACGTCATTTCCCTCGCCCTTGGAGATGGTACTCAGAGACGGTTCGGTGAGGAGTGTGCCGTCGACAACTGCAAGCGGACCCACGGTGACATTGTACGTAGGCAAGAACGCTGTATCACCACCCGCCCAATCCGGATACTTGTACAGGGGTAGGAGAGACAGGATTTTCTCCGTTGACAGTGCACGCAAGCACTTTGCCGTGAAGCACCCACTGCCAGACAGGAACACTTGGTTGGTACGGTTAGCCTCTGCCAATGTAGCATTGATCGTTGTGGAGGCACTCATCATAACAGCACCATGAAACAAACCCCGTGCCAACGGCGACGAAAGCAAAGCCACAATGCTAGTGCCACCGGAGCTCTGTCCGTACACTGTCACTCGATCTTTGTCGCCACCGAAAGCAGCAATGTTCTCCTGGATCCACTTCAATGCCAGTATCTGGTCGTAGAAACCGTAGTTGCCAGAGCCTCTCCCCTTGTCCAGCACATCAAGAGAGAGAAATCCAAACGCGTTCAGTCGGTAGTTGAAACTGACAGCCACCACACCGGTATTTTTGGCAAAGAGAAGATTGGGAGCGTATCCGGCTTCCTCGCCCCCGGACCCAAACATAAGCCCTCCACCATGCAGCCACACAGCAACAGGGAGCAACACATTTCTCCTTCCAGCACTGTGGCGCGGTGCACGCACACGTACATTAGATCCCGCTATGTTGTGTGTGATGACGTTGATGAACAGACAATCTTCATTACCAATCATCTGTTGTCCATGGCTCCCCGGAGTCATTCCCGTCTTCATCTGGGCGCAGACATTGCCGAAATGAGAGGCATTCCACGTACCTGTCCAGCATGATCCGTCTGACTTCTCCATTGAAAGACTAGGCATCCAGCGTCTATCTCCGATAGGTGCCCTACCATAGGGAATTCCTCGGAACACGGCAGCACCCTGTTCCCAGCTGCCCCGTACTTCTCCACACTGGGTGTCCGCCACTGGCGCATACTCAGTGACACGGCGGATAGAAGCCAAATATTTTACGACCGCACCTAAGATACATACGAAAAAGACCACTATGGCCATGTGCATAACGGACACACGTGCACCGCGAAATACAAGTCGCATGGCTGATTTCCTTCTCCACGTCTTTACGCCTCACTCGTCATTACAAATACTTTGTCTCCTAAAACTACCACCAGTGCATGTTCTCTCCGCGCGATACGGCCCCTTTGCTCGCTGCAATCATCACAACATAAAATTTAGAGTAACATTTTTCGCCAATCGACTATGACCCTTCCATTGTATTCAGCCACGACATAACCACTGCGATATTGCCGATAACCAGCTGTAACCTTTAGTTTAGGCTTTACTTGACATTGCTGAGTTTGCACCACTACTCGTAGTCTACTGCACTTGCACGTGAACTCTTCACTCCACCTGCACCCTCGAGGCAGATGCGTGAACATGACCATGATGACTGCAGATCAATTTTTTTAGTACAATGAACTATGTCATGTAGGTACTAGGTCACTAGCGCTAGCACGTAGTACTTAGTATTGCTATTGACATTGTAGGCTTGCATAGAAAATAAGTGGTGGTATTCGGTTGAACCGAATACCGAATGCCCCAGGCTATCCTGGTATCCAGAACTAACTTCCGCAGAAGAAAGGCGGCAGCTAGCCGCGGTAGCGCAGAGCTGATCAGATTCCCAGTACTGGCAGTAGATCTACGGACTTCCACTTCCAGATCAGAGTGAAGACTCGACTGAACTGTGGGACCAGACCTCACTATCATTAGTATCATCAGCGACATCACGTGCTTGACTCTTGCAAAGACTCACAAATCAATCACCATGATCACAATCACATCACCATGATCACAAGTCTTGCAGCTCCAGATAAGAGGTGTTCAATTATTTTTGGATTTCTTTTGATTTCTAGTAGTAGAGTGTTCCTATTTCTATACAGTAACAATGTCATGTCCTGTTGATTATTAGACGTTTAGAGTAGATCCACTCGGAACTTTCGCGATGTTGTGCCGCGTAACGTGTTTCTCTATGATCTCCGTGGCCATAGCCAGCATTCTACTGCTGGCTGTAGGTCCGATGTCGGTGGCTAATGCCCTGGACATGAATAGCGTCGCTCCACCGGTGGCTGTGACAAACTGCGGGCCAATGAAGGGCACGTGGGAAGATGGTGTTGCAGTATTCAGAGGCATACCATACGCCAAGCCACCGACGGGTGACAGGCGTTGGAGGCCCAGTCTGAAGCTGGAGAAAAACAGCGGCTGCTGGGAGGGTACTCTGGACGCAACGAAATTTGGAAACGTCTGCATGCAACTGCAGACGCCGGACGGCAGCACAAAAATCGGCAACGAGGACTGCCTCTACATCAACGTGATGACGTCACAGCGCACATTTGATGCCCAGCAACCAGTGGCGGTTTGGATTCATGGCGGATATCTGATGTTCGGATCAGGGGGTGAACCGGCCGGCTATGCGCCGAACCCGGCCTTTACGAACAATACCGGTGTAGTGGCTGTCAGTTTCAACTACCGACTGAACGCGTTTGGATTTCTCTCGCTTGGTGTGCTGGACAAGGGGAGAGGCTCTGGCAACTACGGTTTCTACGACCAGATACTGGCATTGAAGTGGATCCAGGAGAACATTGCTGCTTTCGGTGGCGACAAAGATCGAGTGACAGTGTACGGCCAGAGCTCCGGTGGCACTAGCATTGTAGCTTTGCTTTCGTCGCCAATGTCTGTTGGCTGTTTAGCGGTGCTGTCATGATGAGTGCATCTACCACCATCAACGCGTCTCTGGAGGAGGCCAATCGCGCTAACCAAGGCTTTCTCAGTTCAAGCGGCTGCTCGACGGCTGAGTGCTTGCGAGAGTTGTCGGCGGAACGTGTTCTGGCCATAACCCCATTCAATGTTTACCCTTACTGGAATGGAGCGGATTCAATGGACCTGCCCACGTATAAGTTGCTTGTCGGTCCGGTTACAGTTGTGGATGGTGTGTTTCTGCCTTTGCCTTCCCTGGATGCTATAGCTCAGGGTAAAGGCCATGATGTTACTGTCATCGTTGGCACAACAGGGCAGGAAGTCGACTTGCAGCCCACTGCAAACATACAGAATGCAAGCTGGGCTCAGTACGAGCAATACGTCAGAAAGCACCTGGAGACATTCCGCAATGATCCGCATCACAACAATACGAACGTACTCGGCGACGTGGAGCGTCTGTACCCGCACGACTTTGCATCACCGCCCAGCGGTGGTACGTGCGTGACCGGCACACCGGAATATCTGCTCACCAGTATGATCTCGGACATCAGAGTCACCTGTCCTTCCGTTCTCCTAGCACAGTACTATGCAAAGTATTTCAAGTCGCCAGTCTACAGCTACGTAGCTGTGCAGTGCCCGTCAGCTACGGCCCGTGAATTCAAATCTAGATACGCGTATCATACTTGGGATGCTGACTTGCTATTCAACCTGTCATTTCCACCCAAGCCCGGCTTCAAGCCAGATGCCAAAGACTGGGAACTGGTGACTATGATGCAGGCCTGGTTCTTTAAATTTGTCCGCGGTGAAGTGCCCCATCCGCAGTGGAAGACCGCCGAGCACGGGACATTCTCTCTGATCTACGAGCCTGAGATGCGCGACTGGTATCATGCAGAGCAGTGTAACTATTTCAATGCGCATGGCTTCCTGCCGTACCGATGGCAAAACTAGGAGATGCGGGCTGTAAGTTATCTGCCAAATATGGGACAAGTTGCCCCCGCAAGAAGGCTGCGGCCATGTTGGATGCATAGGTGCCATTATTATGGTCTAACGAAGTCTGCTGAAGATTCGGATGTGATTTTATTTGAGCCGCAGGATGAACTTTGTATGAACTTTGCTTGTCTGTAATATATTTTGTGAAATCTACGCAAATACGGCTATCTCAAGTCTCTATGGCCTTGATGCCAATCACTATCTCACACAATAATTGAACCAGAGTGTGCAACTCCACGTTTATCAAGAAATTTTGAATAAAAGTGAAATGTGCTATAAGTAGTACATGAACTACCACGTTACATCGAACTTGCTCCCTGCGTCTTCTCCCTGTGTCTACTCCCTGTGTCTTCTCCCTGTGTCTTCTCCCTGCGTCTTCTCCCTGTGTCTACTCCCTGTGTCTTCTCCCTGTGTCTACTCCCTGTGTCTTCTCCCTGTGTCTTCTCCCTGTGTCTACTCCCTGTGTCTTCTCCCTGCGTCTTCTCCCTGTGTCTACTCCCTGTGTCTTCTCCCTGTGTCTACTCCCTGTGTCTTCTCCCTGTGTCTTCTCCCTGTGTCTACTCCCTGTGTCTTCTCCCTGCGTCTTCTCCCTGTGTCTACTCCCTGTGTCTTCTCCCTGTGTCTTCTCCCTGCGTCTTCTCCCTGCGTCTTCTCCCTGCGTCTTCTCCCTGCGTCTTCTCCCTGTGTCTTCTCCCTGCGTCTTCTCCCTGTGTCTACTCCCTGTGTCTTCTCCCTGTGTCTACTCCCTGTGTCTTCTCCCTGTGTCTTCTCCCTGTGTCTACTCCCTGTGTCTTCTCCCTGCGTCTTCTCCCTGTGTCTACTCCCTGTGTCTTCTCCCTGTGTCTTCTCCCTGCGTCTTCTCCCTGTGTCTTCTCCCTGCGTCTTCTCCCTGTGTCTTCTCCCTGCGTCTTCTCCCTGTGTCTACTCCCTGTGTCTTCTCCCTGTGTCTACTCCCTGTGTCTTCTCCCTGTGTCTTCTCCCTGTGTCTTCTCCCTGTGTCTTCTCCCTGTGTCTTCTCCCTGCGTCTTCTCCCTGTGTCTTCTCCCTGTGTCTTCTCCCTGTGTCTACTCCCTGTGTCTTCTCCCTGTGTCTTCTCCCTGTGTCTTCTCCCTGCGTCTTCTCCCTGTGTCTTCTCCCTGTGTCTTCTCCCTGTGTCTTAGTACTTGTAACGTTACTGCACGATTTCCATGAGTTGCAATCACTTCTCTGTCCCCATGGAAAATCCGGGGAAACCCCCAGAAATCTGCGCAAGAAGTAGGCCAACATGTGGGCCAAGTATACAGGAAATTTCCGGAAACTGCAGTATCAATGTTAAAGTCCCGGAGACAAAAGACAGCTGCAGTCGAGGGGCGTGATATTATTCGACTGTGCACGATATCCGCCCCACTGTGCCACCGGGTTCGTGCCTTGCATGGCTAGCTTCAAGTGCTTACTTCAAATACTTTTTTTTTTGAAGTATGTACATGCACAGAACATGGCCACTGTACTCGTACCAACCTACCAGAGACCAGAGATTCGCTGAAAATCAAAAAAATATGAAGGCGCCCCAGGTGCATTTTATTGCTCGGTACATGCAACTCGTGACGAAAAGAAACCAAGTTGGCAAGGCAAAGAAGCTAGTGTTTAATACAAGATATGGTATAGATTCCTCGATTCAATTCCTCGGCACCTTAGTTTAAAATTATTTGATTGACATTACAATTTAGGTGTTCCAAGTGCTCATACTTCAGTTGAATGATTACATGATTTGCAGATCAATTTTGTATGGGCTCAAACAGGGACATGGACAATGGTGGTGCACTATAATCATTATAGCGAAGCATTGTCCATGTCGAATTTTCATTATTGCTTCTTGATATAGAAAGGAGCACACTTGATCAAGACTAAAAACTAAAAGGAGACTACTAGTTCAAGTACATGTACCTACTATCAAACTATCACAATTGTTACCAAAAATATAGGAAACAGGGTTGGGAGTGGGGTTAAGTCTGACAAATCAAAATTACCTCAAGCCACTAAAGAAAACTAACATGTTGCATGCGCACGATTGGACCCGGACATCTAAACTGTCCTCGGCAGAGCTAAATAAAAAAATGAAGCCAATTTCTACTGTGTTACCTGGCTATGCTAAAACAGTCATAAGTACTAAAAAATAGAGCCTTGACATGACCCTAATCTACAACAGCTCTGTCAACACTCTATGGTAACTAGACTACTACTGGCTGGCTACTACCAGAGTACAGCCGTGCGTACAGCAGAGTACAGCAGAGTACAGCAGAGTATAGCAGAGTACAGCAGAGTACAGCCGTGCGTAGCAAAACAATGCAAACAGCGGACATTGGTAGAAAACCAAGGATGTATAAATTATATCTCAAGCAGCTTTGCTGAACTCGCATGTCACGACTGCCTGATCCAAGCCTTGACCGTTGTTAATTAGCGCCGGCCCGTACATACAGCATGGCCACTGTCACTGCGATTGATATGGCAATGACGGCAGTGGCATACGTCTTGGGATTCGTACGGCTCTCGGACTTGACCTGTTGGTTCACTGGTGCAGGTGTGGCGTCGGGCCCTGCTGCGCCACGCGATCCGAAGAGAGAGCCCAGCGTTGTGACGCCGGCATACAGCGATGACACAAACGCCACAGTTGTGGAGAGTTCCACATTGCTCGCCGTTCCGGACGTCACACTAGCATCGACAGGAGGTGTGGCTGGAGCTGGACTGGTCGATTCGTCTGTCACCTCGGACGTGGTCAACATTGCCAAGGTGGATAAGGTGGATGGCCTCACTAAATCCAAGTCGAGGTATTCGGCCACAAAGACGCGGAAGATGCGATTGAGATTGTCGATGGTTTTCGTGTGAAGGTTCTGTTTGTTGTCTGATATCCTATGCCACACTGTTGGGAATCTATCCTTATAGTCTATCACATGGAGGATTGGAACGCCTGAAAGGTAGCACATACGCATACATATACACATACATGCATAAATTCAATTGTATGCAATAATAACACTGCATGCTGAACGCTGGCTACGCATCACTTGTTTAAAAGGGTAAGCGGTTGTTTCACAAAAAAATACATCAGGTAAATCAATTCAGTCTATTGAACTTGAGGGAACTCAACAGTGGTCCTGAGCTAGGAATAATCGCTACGGTCACTGGAAAGGACTGGTATTCACTTACCTTTCCGCATAAAGGGCACATGGTCATCGCCAATACTACCACGAGATGGCGAACTGGTGAAGTATGACTGCTCGTGGCTTCTCAGCAGGCCGTTCTGCTGCAGGCGATTTTCTAAAGCAGTTTAGAAGATACAGGAGAAGATAAAGGGAATGGGCAAAATGAAGATGAGGCAAACATCAGCTGTACATGCAGGTGACAACACACCTCCAGGCACTATGCAGCGATGCGACGGAAAGTGTCAGCCCAGATTAAACAAATTCACCATAATAGAGAGGGTTCCGCATAACGTAATTACGTTAGTAAAAAAACGTAGGTGATCTACGGAACGTCTTGCGTACACTGCATACGGATCTGTGTTCCACCATACGCAGTTTTCAAATCACGTAGCTGCCCTTGGAACTCGGAACGCAACAGTGTACGACCGGGTCGACCTGAGGAGAGAGTCATAAATTTGTACCCCAATCCACTTACGGAGCACCTACGGTATCAGAGCCCTATCTACGTACTCTACGTAGACAACTTTCCGTAAGTGGAGTGCAAATTCGTGAATTCACGGGTTTTTCCCGCCCACTAACGTAAAGTTGCTTGAACGTAAAGTTGGTCAACTTTATGTAGTGCGGGACCTCTCTAATATGTCTCCTGGAATTCCTCTTCATTCCTAAACTCTAAAGAACATTCAGCACATAGCAAAGACACACACATGGCTGTGCTACTTGCCTATACTCTGCAGAGCCATGAACAGATGTCCTGTATCTCCTGGAAAGTAGTTGTAGAAGTTTGGGTTGTTGGAGCCGATCAGATCAAGCAAGACAAAGGCATCCTGCAGGAACACCAGTCATACCACACGGGAAACGGCTAAGCAATAGTTACGTACACCTTCACAAGCATGTGTACGAGAATGATCAATAACTGCATCATGACTTCCGCAGCCGTGTTCAAGCAACTGAAGCTCACCACACATGGTGTTTCGATTCTTGCAGAGGCCAAGCATCCAGCTTGCCACAATACACAGTTCGGCAGACACCCATACAGAGCACACACTTAGCCAACCATTGACGCACAGGATTGGGTATCAAGAATGCGTAGCAGCATAATTCAAGAAAAGAAAACCATTCAATAAAGACTGGTACCGAGTACAATTGAAGAGTAAAATGATTACAGTAGGGGCGTAGCTGGTCCCCCCCCCCCCCCCCCCCCGTTGGGGGGGGGGGGTGAACGGCCACTTCGCCGCTTTATACGTGTAGGATGGCTGGTACATGTCATCATGGTCATTATAATTATGTAGGTCGAATTTTTAGGGGGGGGGGGGGGGAGGGGGGTGCACGTGCCCCCGTGACATAGTGACTAGCAGCCAAGTTTCAGTTTAACCCAGAACTCCATACCATTGCCTGTAGTTGGTTGATAGTTGGATGGTACGGATGACTAGCAGCAGCCATTTTCGCTGCTAAATGCCTCGAACCATACAGGGAATCGGTGTCCGTCCATCTCACAAATGCTTCTTCTCCATCGAAAAAGAGCAGCTGAAGCGTAGTGTCCAGCCTCTACAGGTGTGAAAGTCAGACAAAAGATATGAGATGACACCGGAGTGCAATCGGTGACGAGACAAAAATTTACATGACGAAGAAGTACGAATAATATGATCTGCGCAGTTATCGCCAGGGATTTACAACACAGCCATAATTAGTGCACACACACACACACACACACGCACGCACGCACACACACCATGGCAAGGAAGGCTTCACTGATGTAATCCAACTGATACTAGAGAATCACAAGAAAACGCTGGTGGATATCCTAATCATAATAATTATTATACAAATGAGTGTATCGAAGTAGACTATTCATACATGCATAGAATGTTGCATTAACACATAATACACTGGTCCATTCTCTGCTTCTCCTTATGATCCATCTGGTCCCGTGCGGAGTGTTAGTGGGGGGGGGGGGGGGGGGGGGGGGGCACAAGCCGGCCAAGGCATGATGGATTTTTCCAACGAGCTCCGGAAGCCAAGGTCAGCAGCACAAGCTAGATTCAATGTCAGAAAAGAAATAATTTTCCACTCACGCTACCCGCACAGCTTACCCGGGCCCGGCTCTTGAGCTCTTTGTCGAAAACGCGCACAAGATTGATCAGCATCGCGCACGGCACAGCAGAGTCAATGGCCCCGAGGAAGACGCCATCCGTGAACAACTTGCTGTCAAAGTGGCACGCCAGGACCAGGCGTCGGCGTGCCATTGGGTCCAAGGTGGCGACTACGTTGGAAAAGTGCTTGGTCCCGAGAGGCGTACTGGACGTGAAGCTGTCCAACTCCACGTGCCAGCCGGCAGTGAGACCCGTCAGCTGATTGACAATGTGCTGCAGAAAGATATCCAACACGCAATACACAGGCTTGACATTGTGCTATAGGTATCACGTGTTGAAAACACGACCTGCATAACATTTTCAATGTAATTAGTTGCTTAGCTAATATCTAGGGCTGAAGCAATTATCACGGATAACCGCGTATGTGATCGGTTGCTTCTACTTCAGTACTAAAGCAGAACTATTTGCGTAACAGGTACACGATGAGCTTTTTGCACGTAAAATGGATGTGTTTCAGTGTAGGAGTAAGCCTTCAGACACGATGGCAACAAAACTGGAGGAATGGCGGGGCGAGTCGGTTACAGGGTCGCTCTGGAACTAACTTAGCCCATTGCCACATACACAGAGTGGTGGTCTGACAGTGCACTTAGCCTACTGTCACACAGAGTATTGTATTGTTTGTATTGTATTTGTATTTATTCCCGTAGCTATGCAGAACAGGCAAATGGCGAGTGGTCCAGATGAGACTGGATCTTATTCCATTGCCACACATACATGTACTCGTAGTGCTGGTCTGACAGTACAGAGTGTCTACACAAGACTGCATCCATGCAACACCGGTGCATACAACTGGGAGCACTGACTCTGTGTCCCCACCAAAGTTAACGTTTCAGTGCCCTGTGAACATTCTGTACATGATACATGTACAGATACATGTACTTAGCATGCACACACTGAGTGCGGCGTACGTACCGTTCGAACAATGGTGTTTCCTCGTGTTCCAGCCACACGGACAATGAGAAACGGATCTAGCTCACTGCTCATGAACTGGGTCATATTGGAGCGCTCAACAGATATCGTCTGTAAGTCTTTTATGCCCAGCACAGGCACAACTGACTGGACCGCCTATTGAAACACAAGTGCGCACAGCAGTTCATCAGCAAAGAGTTGAAATCTCGAACACACATACACACACACAGACAAACACACGCACATGCACATGAGCGCTCACAAACACACACACGCGCGCGCGCGGGCTCTCTCTCTCTCTCTCTCACACACACACGCACGCACGCACGCACGCACGCACGCACGCACGCACGCACGCACGCACACACACACACACACACACATACATAAAGACACATGTCAACAAACATACTTGAATAATGTTTGCCTGGTGATTGCACACGGTGCATGAAACTCAGAGTAGCAAAACACTACGAGTGATCCATTGTTTTTTCACATGTGTCATTGCCCCATCCAAGAAATTGGATGTTGAGCACTTTTCCGCAGCTGCAGACATAGTCTTAAAAATTTCACGGTTCGCGTCAGACTCGGCTAGAGGCTGAGTTTTCCGCATCCGTAGGAACGCCACCACCCTTCAAGGATCAAGGCGCAGATGCAGCTCCTAAAGCGGTGGGAGGTGAGTAGATCAGCTCACCAGCAAGTGGTCAAAGACCAAAATTCCCATTCACTGCATCCATGTTTTCCTCATGCCAGGCCACGAGTTCCCAAATAACTGTGGGTCGCAGCATGGCTGGAAAAAATCCTTCCGCTTCCAAGCAGGACTTGAACCGGTGTACCCTCTGTTTCTCAATCATGGTCTTAGACCATCCCACTTTGCTTGTCTTACTGAGTATAATAAAGACAATACACAAACGCATGTACGTGCACGCTCTCATACACCCAACACCCAACACCCATCCTGGTCCTGTACAGGTCACGTGTGAGGATGGTGTTGACTACCGCTTGCCACCCTACTTAGCTTCCAGGATTCTGAAAAACGTCAGGAGTACAAAGCTGCCCATATAAGGGCATTTTGCATCCCAAAAGCCTGTCATATACGTCATGTACTCTCTATTACCCCAAGGCATATTACCTGGTATAGATCCCGCGTAGGATTGTATTCCGATACGCCCCAGTGCATGCATGACCCCAGGCATCCTAAATACCGTAAAAGTCCGTAAATAAGTACGTATTTACTTTCGAATTTAGTGACCACACCCGTACTAACTTTCGGGCGGGTACTGACATTTGGGCACGAACTAACTTTCGGACCTGACTTGTGTGTAGTAAAGAAGTCATTTCCATGTAGATATACATGCTACGTGCTGCATGTGCGCATCGTACCGGTACTTATTTCGGGCAGTATGTTTATCGGGCTTGACTTGACTTCAACAGACAGAGCCAAAAGAATGAAGGGGGTATTTCTTTCGGGCAGGTACTTATTTACGGACTTTTACGGTTTGCTGGCACGCCGGCGGAGCCAAGGGGTCGCGTTTGATTTTAGTGAATGCGACCGTACAGCATGATCCTATTTTGTGCATGCAGTACTGGAGGTAGCGAGGAGTTGAATTTCTACTTCCCCTTCCCCTTCCTCTGCTTGAAACACCCCTGCACTGTGGCACGTCACGTGTAGCCTGGGTAATGGCACTCCAGTGGACATCTGAGTGAGGCATTGTTACCAGCCAGGCCAGTACGTCGACTACAAGTATCCTATTCTACCACTCCCTTGATTATTGATTATTGATTATTGATTATTGATTATTGAGGCTGTGGTGCTGGACTGAGGCTGTCACACTAACTGTAGACTACGCTCATCATGCAGCCACTACTTCCGGCACATCATCAAAACCGTGTCGTTTGTAACAAACTAAGTTTCCACTGTACTGTAGACAGTCATGTACCAGATGTACACGAGACTTTCTAAAAATGAGTTCAACAAAAACCGTAGTCATGGACAGCCATCAGTGTTTCGTGTACGTTGAAAGTAAGTCCTTACCCTTTTCTTGACACTATGATGTCGCCCTCCACTGAGCCCAGTAACAGAACATAACAGTACCAGGGCGATGACCAAGTGCCTTGCCATGGCGCTGCGCTGGGCTGACGCGTTTCTCACAAACTAATGTAATTGGCTCCTTGAACAAAGAAATAATTGTAGCTTGGCTAGTATAGCAAAAATCGGTAACAGCGAAGGTTCGAATTTTGTTGCCGCCGAAAGCTAACTTGACCTAGCTGCAGTGCTGGTCGCCTTTGTTCTTGCTCAGTTATGGAAGTAGAAGCTGCTGCAAGCACTAGTCACGTCTTTCCTTGGCCAGACATTAGTGTCATTGGCTGCAATTACCTGGATAAAAAGTTAGTTGTGCACGGTGGCTACGCTGCACTAGTCTATTCCAATACTATTGCCAGTGCCCAGTTTCAGTTGAACACCATCCGATTCTACTTGTACCCGCTCTGTTCTCCAGAGGCAAAGACCATAGGCATAGGGCAATATCACTATCGATCATCAGTCAGCCTTGAAGAGGACAACGAGATCAGACTATGACCAACCAACAAACACACTATTCACTAACTCAATCATTGGCATTGCCATAATGCATTGCCAATGCCATGACAGGTGTTCCACCGACGCCATGCGCCAACACCACCCGCCAGTACCATGACTCATGAGTACAGTGCAGCGCTCATGCTAGTATGCGTGGTCTTGAAATAAATGAATGGGAGTTTGTCCCCTGGGCCTAGCTGCTGGCCCGCGTGCTGTGCATCGATGCATCATCGACGCGGTGCATGCACACTGCATTTTCGTACAATGATTTATCTATCCCTTAGTATTGACTCGCATAGATTTTTGCCATACCTAAGCAGTCAAATATTCCTGCATAGACCATGTAGACCACCCTTTTCAGGTGATCTACGGATATTTCCCCTAGTTTGAGGGGATTATGGCTCATAATCCCCGCAAACGAGGGGATCTCATATCCACAGGAAGTGTGGATCCCCTCGGACGGTGGGTCGGACCCAGTCCTTCTACCAGCATAACCAAGAGAGCTAGCTCCCTTGGCTGCTGCTTGAATTGCATATTTCACTCCTTACTGACCTAATAATAATAAATAAAATAAAGCTTAGCCTAGGGCTATATAATTATTGACTGCTTATAAAAATTATTTGACTGCTTACATTGTAGGGTTGAACGGTGCCTAGTGCAGCATTGTCACTGCATGAGTAACGTTAGGTGGTGGTGCAACGGTTGTGCAATCATAAAACCTGGATTCATGAGGTTGTCGTTCTGGAATTTGAAATACGGACTGTTTGTCGTGGTAAATCTAATATTGACTTCGTACTTGGTCAGTATAGGAAATAAAAACCTCGTAAAAGACCTCGGCTTCGCCTCGGTCTTTTACTCGGCTTTTATTTCCTATACTGACCTCTTACTCAGTCAATATTAGATACGTACATGTAGTGTAGCGTCTCTGACGTTCTCGCATCATGACATCATCATTTGTTTGCATGTACACGTCATATTTTCCTCATCATCACAAACACTGATTCACCATACTCTCGCACACATTGTAATACCTACTACACGTACTTCTCTACCATAATAATTACGTAATGTTTGGCTAGCATAGTTCCAATACACATTACGACATCTTTTGATGTTACGCACTCCTCGCCTACAACGCTATTGTAGAAAAGTAGTCTTTACTCATCTCTTGTAAGTTCTGTTTGCATCCAAACACTTCTTCCAAACAGCACACGTCAGATATCTAACAAAACAACAAACTTCATTGCACAGTCTTCTATCACAATCTCTTTCCTATATAAACCTCCTTTCTCTTCACTTTCTTCATGACATTTAGTGTTCGCCAGTCTTGTAAAGATCTTGGAAACTAACACTCGTTGCACTGTATCTAGACTACTAAATTGGTGACCCCCGACGTGAGTAAAGTGCAATATGTCCAGCGACGATGGTTCTTCCGCTTCCGCCTCTGGAGCTTCAGCTGCCGCTAGCTCCTCCGCCCCGGCCCAAAACCAACCACTCGCCCGCAACGACCAACACGACGCACCGGACCGTCCGGTGTCTGCCATCACCTTCCGACTGCCGCAGTACTGGCCCGGCGATCCGCAGCTTTGGTTTGCACAGGCCGAAGCGCATTTTGCCAACCATCGCATCACCAACCCGCGGGCCAAGTATAATGTCGTCGTGAGTTCGCTGGCTCCTGAATACGCCGCTGAGATTCGGGACTTGCTCCTAGCGCCGCCAGCCGAGGAGCCGTACCAAGTCCTGAAAGAGGCGCTCACCGCACGCACACAAAAGTCCGATCAGGCACGGTTGCGTGAGCTACTCTCAACAGCCGACATCGGGGACAGCCGACCAAGTCGCGTCCTCCGACGCATGCAACAGCTTTTAGGCAGTAAGTCGCTAGACCCAACTATCCTGCGCGAGCTATTTGTACAGCGTTTGCCCGTGACGGTCCGCCTGATTCTGGCTGCAACACCTGCAAGCCTCAGCCTGGACGAACTTGCAGCGCTTGCTGACAAGGTGGTTGAAAGCACGTGCTCAACCCCACTCACCGGTACAAGTGTTCACGCTCTGAGTGAAGCCCCTAGCCCTGCTCGGTCTAGTACGTATACGGCCTTATCATGTAGATCTACAGCGTCCACAGATGCGGAACAGGCCTGCACCGCTGACAGGGCTGAGATGGCCCAGCTCCGAGCTGAACTCGCCAAGCTGACGTCCGCTGTGAATGTGATGACCCGTGACACCGGTGCCCCTTCCCAGCGTGGCCGCCAACGAGAGCGTAGTCCCGGGCCACCGTCACGCCACCCAAGTGCCTCCAGGTCTCCCGGCCGTGACAATCACGACGACCTTTGCTGGTATCACCGTGCGTTCGGTGCGAAGGCGAACAAATGCCGAGACCCCTGCCGATTCCTGTCGGGAAACGGGAAGGCCAGCCACTAGTCGCGACCGCTAGTGTGGTTGGCCCCTCGAATACCGCTACCGGTCGCCTACTATTCGTCAAGGATCGCTCCCAGTCCGTCGAGTTCCTTGTCGACACCGGCGCCGCCGTCAGTGTTCTTCCTCCGTCATTCGTAACTCTGTCTCGTCGTGTTCATCGCAATAGCCCTCGCCTCCGTGCAGCGAATCAGAGCAGCATCGCCACGTACGGTCAGCAGCTGCTAGATTTAGACTTAGGTCTCCGACGCACTTTCAACTGGGTCTTCGTCGTTGCTGACGTCAGCTATCCGATCCTGGGTGCGGATTTCCTTGGCCACTTCCAACTCACTGTCGACCTGGCCGCCAGATGTCTCCGGGACTCCACTACTCAACTTGCCGTTGTCGGATCCGCCTCGGATGTCAGCACCTCCGCTACCAACCTGCTGGACACTGATAGCCCTAGTGAGTATTCTGCCCTGCTGAGTGAGTTTCCTGACCTTGTCCGACCGACCACTGGTGACTCGCCTGTCAAGCACAATGTGACACACCGCATAGTCACAGATGGCCACCCCGTCCACGCTAAGCCTCGCCGTCTGGCACCCGACCGCCTTGCTGTCGCTAAGTGTGAGTTCCAACACATGTTAGATTTAGGCATTATTCGTCCCTCCTCTAGTGCATGGTCATCCCCTCTGCATATGGTGCCAAAGAAATCCGGTGACTGGCGACCCTGTGGTGATTACCGAGCCTTGAATGACTGCACGATCCCCGACCGCTATCCCATCCCGCATATTCAAGACTTTACGTCCCACCTGCATGACAAGATCATATTCTCTAAGATTGACCTCGTCCGTGCATACCACCACATTCCTGTGCACCCTGACGACATCCCGAAAACTGCCATCACCACCCCCTTTGGACTGTTTGAGTTTGTCCGCATGCCCTTTGGCCTTCGCAACGCAGCCCAGACATTCCAACGCTTCATTGACCAGGTAGTTTCAGACCTTCCCTTCTGCTTTGCATATCTGGATGACTTGCTCATTGCTAGCGCCTCACCCGCTGAACATATGGCCCACCTTCGCTGCATATTCTCCCGCCTTGCTTCACATGGCATCTTGATCAACGTCCGGAAGTCGCAGTTCGGCCAGGATGAGCTTGACTTCCTGGGACATCACGTGACTGCCTCAGGTATCCGACCTCTCGACGCTCGCATGACCGCCATTCGTGAATTCCCACAGCCAGCTAGTGTTCGTAAGCTCCGTGAGTTCATCGGCTTCGTCACGTTCTATCACCGATTTCAGCCACATCTTGCTGCTAAGCTCGCACCTCTGCACGCTATGCTTGAGAAACGCCACCGCACCAAAGGCGCGCTCGTCTGGTCCGACTCGGCCATCGCTGCTTTCAATGATGTCAAAGCTGCGTTCACTGAGGCCATCACACTTCACCATCCTCGCCCGGATGCCGCCTACAGCTTGATGGTCGACGCTTCAGACATTGCTGTTGGTGCCGTCCTCCAACAAGAGCTAGATGGTGAGTGTTATCCTGTTGCCTTCTTTTCACGCAAGTTAAAGCCTGCTGAGACACGCTACAGCACCTTCTGTCGAGAGCTCCTCGCTATTTACCTAGCCATTAAGCATTTCCGACACTTCCTGGAAGGGCGTGTCTTCCATGTGTGCACCGATCACAAGCCTCTGACACATGCCATCCACAGCCGTTCACAGACCCACAGCCCGCGTCAACAGCGCCATTTGTCGTACATTGCTGAGTTCACGACAGATATTCGTCATGTCAAGGGTTCTCAGAATGCTGCCGCTGATGCACTGTCACGATGCCACCTACCCGATGAGCCCGTCTCTGCCATCACTGCCATTGACACAGCTTCCTTTGCCGCCGCTCAACAAGATGATCCAGACTTGCCCAGTCCTGGTAAGGATCCATCCACTTCGCTATGCTGGCAATCTATAGCTCTGCCCATGACTGATCACTCGCTCATCTGTGACACCTCTACTGCGTCTGCCCGCCCGTATGTACCTGCCAAGCTGCGCCGTGCTGTTTTCAATTCGCTTCACGGCCTCTCCCACCCTGGTACCCGCGCTACCAGGCACCTGATTACAGCTCGCTACGTCTGGCCCGCGATGAACAAGGATATTAGTGAGTGGTGTCGTTCCTGCCACGCTTGTCAGCAGTCTAAAGTTCAGCGCCACACCACATCTCCCGTGAGTGCATTCAAGCAACCTGATGCCCGTTTCTCCCATGTCCATGTCGACATCGTAGGCCCGCTTCCATCTTCTAGTGAGTCTCGCTACCTCTTGACGATGGTAGATCGCTTTACTCGCTGGCCCGAAGCAGTACCTATTCCCGACATTACAGCCGAAACCGTCGCTCGCCAGTTTGTTGCCACCTGGGTCGCCCGATTTGGTGTTCCCACTGTGCTCACAACCGACCGAGGTGCCCAATTTGAGTCATCCCTGTGGTCATCGCTCATGTCACTACTTGGCACATCTCGCATTCGCACAACGGCTTACCACCCGGCTGCCAACGGCATGGTAGAGCGCTTTCACAGACAACTGAAAGCTGCACTCCGAGCTTCCGACAATCCACAGCGCTGGACGGAACATCTGCCACTAGTCCTGCTCGGCATTCGCTCCTCCCTGAAGGCTGACCTCAACTGCTCAGTTGCAGAAATGGTCTACGGTTGCCACCTCCGCCTGCCAAGTGATTTCCTCACTGACGAGCCTGAGCCATTTCCGGATCCGACGTCCTATGTCAGCCGCCTCAAACAAGCCATGTCCGAGCTCCGCCCTACACAACCCCGCAAGCCACCCACCCAGCATCCGTTCATTCCAGCTGACCTCTCGACATGCTCTCATGTCTTCATTCGCACAGATGCAACACGAACGCCCCTCCAACGTCCTTACACTGGTCCACACCGAGTCCTGGAACGTCATGATAAGTACTTCCGCCTCGACCTCAACGGCCGCTCCGACACAGTATCCATCGACCGACTCAAACCCGCATTCCATGACAACCAGTCTGTCGACCATTGCCATCCGACCAAGCCGACGCCATCGCTCGCATTCGACGTGCCTCCGCCACGCCAAACACGAGCTGGTCGTCAAGTCAGATTTCCCGCCTATTTCTGACACTCTCTCGCTTATCCCATTTGCTTGCTCTCACTTTATCGCGCTAGTTATCGTTCATTACTCATTCACTAGGAGGGGAGCTCTGTAGCGTCTCTGACGTTCTCGCATCATGACATCATCATTTGTTTGCATGTACACGTCATATTTTCCTCATCATCACAAACACTGATTCACCATACTCTCGCACACATTGTAATACCTACTACACGTACTTCTCTACCATAATAATTACGTAATGTTTGGCTAGCATAGTTCCAATACACATTACGACATCTTTTGATGTTACGCACTCCTCGCCTACAACGCTATTGTAGAAAAGTAGTCTTTACTCATCTCTTGTAAGTTCTGTTTGCATCCAAACACTTCTTCCAAACAGCACACGTCAGATATCTAACAAAACAACAAACTTCATTGCACAGTCTTCTATCACAATCTCTTTCCTATATAAACCTCCTTTCTCTTCACTTTCTTCATGACATTTAGTGTTCGCCAGTCTTGTAAAGATCTTGGAAACTAACACTCGTTGCACTGTATCTAGACTACTAAAGTAGATCTACAGTCATCATGATCGGTGCTACTGACTACTAGTACTGTGAGTACTACTGCTAGTAGTGTCTTAGTTTTGTAGCTAGCTACGTAAAGATCGAACAGACTTGTCAGTATTGTTGCGGGTCAGGTACATAACTAGTATTGTACTACACTGACGTCTGTCATTGTAGCCTCAGTATAATGTAGGCATTCCTCCACAAGTAAACTTTAATTTACTGATATTCGTTTTGAGTCGCCAGGCCAGGGGTATCGTATGTGTTTTTACCACCACTATTTAAAGCGAAACAGCACGAACTAAGTTTACTTACAAGTAAGTTAGCTGAAGTAACAGTTTCGGTAAAGCCGGTCTTGTTCATGTCATTGCACTAGACTAGTAGTGCGGGTTTCGGGATCACAATCCGGCGCAGTTCTTGTTGCCTTTTCAAAACAGACCAGCAGCCAAACATGCCACTGATAGTTATCGGAAAGCACTCTACAGCAGCGAGGACCATGTACCATAGGCACTAGACTCTAGAGCATCAGAATCAATATAACTCTCTCTCTCTCTCTCTCTCTCTCTCTCTCTCTGGCAAGTACAGGCTCGACTGCCACATCTGAGCATACCTCCGTCAGAAGATCCGCCACTATATCTCTTACTTCATTGTGGCAAATTGTCGGGAAACCTCCGCGGGGGCAAATCATCACATGCGTGGCGGCGTCGAACGGCTCCCCACACAAACAGCTCACCGGTGTGTCCAAGAGAGACCAACCATAGCGGAGAGCTAGAGCGTCGCGGAAGTCTCCCTTGGACAGATGGTGACCATGGTCTGCCAGAGGCAACACCCCGAGCCAACTCGACACGCCTTTCGTGGATAAACTCTCCAGCCGACGAGCCAAGGCAGGGGACGCACTGCTCTTGATCGAGACGAAATCATTCTGCTCCCTCTGACAACGGTCATGCGCCAGCCGTGTCTTCTCGCTTAGGGTTGCCTGGCGAACATCCTCCGTGGAGTTATGGGTGTATTGAACATCATTCTGGTGTACAATCTCCTCCACCTGAAGGGCCGTTACAGCTCTCGACGCAGGGAGCTCCGCCGTACCCATTTGCTGAAAACACGGCAAGGAGGCATTATTATTTTTGCAACTCCAACTCCAAGTATGGTGGCGGCGCATGATCACCATGGTCACGATATCTCATGGTAACATTGAACGAATGTTTTCTGGCTGTGTCAGTCACAGACAGTGTGTGTATCGCATTCATGGTGTGACTGTGAGGCGCAAGGCTAGGCAACAAAATAACAAGTGCGGCCACTACTGTACTCTGTAGCACTACTACTAGTATTCACTAAACTGCAAAGGCAGAAGACCATGGTAGACAGTGTCGATCTAGGGAACAGAGCGTAAATACTGGCGCAGAACGTCCGTCGCCTGTTCGCCAAAGCCCATGGAGGACATCCAGGAAACGGCGTGTGAGTGCGAGGTGGCAGCGACTGAGGACACGCGGCAGGAGTCGGAGTCCTCTGGCTCTGTCAGTTCTGATTCCGCGGATCAGCAGCTGAGCTCAGTAGATGGCGCTGACGATCCGGCGATGCTAGCGCCATTGCAGTTCGTATGGCCGTGTAGGCACGGATTTCAACAGGACACTGGCAAGAAGGCCATTGAAAACTACTTAGAGGTACGTGAAGGTGTAAACCCGTCTAGTGAATCACACTCTCAGTGGATGTGTTTCTACTACGGCCGGTATGTACTGCATTCAGGTGACAATCAATGAAACATTTTTTCTGTTGATTCTGCACCGGCCATGAATACAATGAACGGTGAACACTGATCACAGAGTCAGTGATCATGGTGATCATGGGGATCAGTCACCGGGAGTGGTGAGAAAGTGCTAAGGAACCTGTAGGTTGTAGTGTAGGCAACCCGGACTGGGAGTCGTGAAAGAGAGTGAGCCGTGACCTGTGCTGCACGTCAAGCCCGGCTTGTCCTTCATTTTGCGCACTGAGAAACGCGGTGTATCCGGCAAACAAAGTCAACCCGAGCTCAACTTGTTTGGCCCGTCGCACGACCACATGAGGGTGGAGAAGAATGATGCTCATCACCATGATCTCAGTGACTTAGTGTGTGTCCATGGTGATGTTGCGCATACACACTGGTGGTGTTCTCGCATACAGTACTGTCGGGCACCGAAGAACTGGAGGGGGGGGGGGGGGGGAGGTGTCAGGGTTCTAGCCTAGCCCGTTCTAATTTTTAGCGTACACAGCAGCTTCGTTCTTATTCGATGGGACAGCCTTGCATGTACAGTAGGTATCGGTTATAGCGTGGGTGTTTAAAAAACGACATTCTATTCTTATTTCCGATATTTCCTGCACACGATAAATCAAGTGTGGCATATCACATGCATGTGCGCAGAGGCAGGAAGATCATCGTACATGCAACGCAGTACTTCTGTGCATGTGGTTGGTCATAGTCCCTTAGGCTTACCATGTGGCTATGCAAAATGAGTTACATGATCACAACAGTTGAACCTGCAGCACTCAGAACGTAATTGGACGGATACTATTACTACAGGCGATATACACTTTGTACTAATCTGGCATGTTTCGCTACACAAAGTCCATTCTTAGGACCGATATATTCTACTATGGGATAAAATTGCTTGTAAGAATGTGCACTTGAAATCCATGTTATGATTATGAAAACATGAGAGTTCATTCTTGTAGGCAGTATATTCTTTTACACGACCACGCTATAACCGATACGCACTGTACATTTATGCTGAGTTACACGTCTGAGTGTACATTATAGTGTACATTGTAGGCCTCGACCAAATATGCTTGTGCATATTTCCGCATATTTTGTGAGACAGTTCATATATGGCATATTGAGCGACAAAGGGAATATTGGAATTAAGCCAGCATATAATTCAAATATTCTGAAGAAAATGAGGACAAAGCATTCATGTTAGGCCATCATTTTTTATATCTATGTTTCGCGTCGTCCGCACGCATACGTTTTGCCTTTTTTCGGAAAAAAATAAAAAAATCGAACATGCACAGTTAGTGTACGATTGTGCGAATCATCAGTGTGGACTGGTTACATACGGCGAAGCTGGGATTCAGAAATGAAATTCGAGGCCAGCGTTGGTAAATCGTTTGTTCGGCATCTGCGAGCAGTATAATGTATTCTATGAGCATACATATACACCAGACCGCATCGATTGCCTCAAGCTGAGAGGATGCGTCGTTCCAGAGGTCTTTGCACCGCTGCTGAAGTCTGAGTACAATAATCCAGCGAAGCATGGGCACCAACGGTTGCCTCCTCTGTCCAAAGTGAATATTTACTCATGCTGATAATCCAGATGTTGTGCTTGGATGTAGGATTTTTCTTTCGAATGTACACCATGCACGAGCTATTGTGCTATGTACAGTTCTAGCTAATTCTATACACCTCTGATGAGCCTTTTTTATTATTTTGCAATTTTTTATTTCTTTCCACCTCTCGCATATGATTCTGGAAGTTGAGCTGACGCGAAACATAGCTATAAAAAATGATGGCCTTATGGACAAAATGCGTTCAGAAAAGCCTTTTAGGGATGAATTTGGAATGGTTGAGGCGTTTCACATTTCAACATGGATGAACACTATCACTACGGTTGCTGGGGACACACCAGCCATACTATTCTGCATGTGTTTTGATTTGCACCATAAGCATGATAGCCGTGAAGCCAATGAATATGCAAGGTTGTAATTTTACTGAAATGATCTACACTTTCTGCTTATGTCGAGCATATTTTGGCATATCTTGGCATATCTTTTTGCATATCTTGCTATTAAAGCCTTTGGCATATTATGGCCGTTTTCCCTGATATGCGACGAGCATAATATGCTCTTTTTTAGCATATTTGGTCGAGGCCTAGTACAGTGCTGTTTCTGTTCTTCAAGTTAATATCTGCAAAAAATCCAGCCTAGACCGTTCTTAAAAATTGGTGAAATTCTAGCCTGGCCGTTCTTCAGCGCCCGACAGTACTGTAGACCAAGTCCTGGAATCTTGCTTGTATGCAACCACAGTCCTTTCGAGTTAACAAGCCTGGGCCTCCGAGAGAATACCGTATTTCCACAAATAGTAGGCCGGTCTACTATTTTTTCAACCTCGTCCTAACCCAGCCTTATAATCGAGGACGGTCTTGTATTCGAGGACGGTCTTTTATTCTTTCAACCCAGTTTGACCCCCGGTCTTCTATTTCTCGCCACACAGTTTTACCCCCGTTCTTCAATTTTCTTCTACACAGTTTGAGCACGGTCTTCTATTTTTTCCCACAGTTTGAGCACGGTCTTCTATTTTTAACGCAAGAACAATGACTCATTTAGTAGGCCCGGTCTTCTAATCGGAGACGGTCTTTTATTTTTTCAATCGCCCCCTGCCCCGGCCTTGTATACGAGGAAGGCGTTGTATACGAGGACGGCCTTTTATTTGCGGAAATATGGTATGTGTGTGTAGGGGGGGGGGGGGAGCTACAGTGTACCTACTACTAGTATTCATTTCTTGCAGTAAGTGGGCTTCGGCAAAATGCTCCACCTTTTTCTCTCTCGCTCCCTTTCTGATGCCCCTCAATTATTTTGTTTCCCTAAATTATTTTGTTTCCTGTTCTACCCTATTTGAAGTTGTACATTGTACTGTTGAGACAACGAACTAAAATAAATTAGAAACAAACGAAAACAAAACTAGTATCACGGAACAAGCGTGAAGGAAACATTGAGTCCTATTTGTATACCACATGCTTCATTGTCATCAGGGCGGGGGGGGGGGGGGGGTGCAGCTTCGCATTCTTCAACAGCGTGTGTGCATCAGGCCCGTCGCACTGACTTTGGAGGTGGGGTGGCCATGGACGGGGGTCCTCCCCCGGGAAAAAATTTCAAAAATTCAAGCATTGCAAGCATTTCCGGGCATTTGCAGTTGGTGCCATTTCAGTGTAACTACAATGAAATACTTTTTGATTCTGCAACAAACCAAGAAAACGTACGATCGGGAACAAATATTACCCTCCCCCCTTTCATTCATCTTGGGCACCCTGTAAGAAGACCTTAGGGTCTGTTGGGAATGCCCAAGTAAAATACAATACAATACAATAGTCAATACAATTCTAGTGTGCTCCAAAAACAAAAAACAAAAAACGGCCGAAAAAGTGGGGCGGCCTCAGCCGCCCCACTTTTTCGGCCTTGTGCATGTGTGTGTGGGGAGGGTGCACACGTGTGTCTTGTGGGTGGGTGTGGGTGTGTGCGCGCTTGTGCATGTCCATTGCAATCTACATTGTAAGCTTTAGAGCAGCATACCGCAGAAAGTTCTACTTCAAATGGTAACTAATAGTACTGGCTGTATGTTCAGCTGTGTTTGTGTTCCAAGCCCCTGCCCCAATGCTTCTTTACGGTCCAGTAGGCCAGACATCGGATGGGCCAACCACTGTTGAAAAGTGCTGCCCATCATGAATTGAGTGGTTTCACATACATGTACTAGTATTTGTCACAGTCATGTGACTACTTTTGTGGAGAAGAGGACCATGTCATGTGGACAGTGGAACCAACATGGCCGACGTCATGTGACCCATACGTGCAGGATTTCGAATGGAGCTGGAACCAACATGGTCGTCCCGTTTGGTCATGTGATACATGTGACACCACTCTCTAGCAGTGCCACTGCAACGGTCTGCAGGTCAAACGTTCTTGCTGTGTGCGTGTGCTGTGTGTCATCTTGTATTGTAACGCTGCAGCTGTTGGACATGGACGCACAGATCTGGAAGTGGAACACGGCTTTCACTGGCGAGAAGAACGGCGTGTACCAGTATCGTGCGTGGTTCGGCCAGCCCACACGGGCGTACCCGCTGCCGTATCCCACAGTGGATGTCCATTTCGAGCTGAGCGCAAAGGTGTGCTTCACGTGTGTTGTATATGTACTTTATGCCGGGACTGTGAGCAGACGCTGAGTGCGTCTTGCACTGTGTCACCTGTTACATTGCACTCCGGCATTCAGCACATGGTACAGTTGGTACTCGTTGACAACGAGTCACAGTCCACATGTACCTAGTTAAGATAGCCTATACTAATAGGCCGTTGCCATGTAGGCTGCGAGGGTAGGGGCGGCACAGGGCAGTGGGGGAGTAGTACGACCCGGGGGATTGGATTTTTCGGCCAACACTGCACGTTTTGACGCTCGTTTATTGCTTTGTTAGATGAATTGGGCGAACCATCCTAGATCCTGGACGAAAAGTGGGTCGACCATGGTCGTGCTACTCGTACAATGTTTGACACCCAACGCCCCTGGAGAGGAAACTAACTTATTATGATGACCAGTGCTGCCAACCTTCCATATGTTTCCGTACCGTAAAGTACCACGAGAGCGCCCCACCTTGATTTTACAGCTAGGGAAATGAAAATCGTATGGCAGAGTACAACGGAGTGTGTGAGAAACTTAGTGCACTAAGGTCACACTTAGCAGGTTTTTGTGTGGAGCTCGTGTCCGCTCGAAGTTAAATTGAGTATGGATTGACTGCACAACGTGCAATGTGTGTACAAGGTCCGTGTGGTGTCCTGTCTGTAGGTTATAACCTACAGACAGGACACCACCTCCACAATAATTATGTTTTTTTTGTGCTACATGTAGTCGAAGCCCGGCATGCTTTTCTTATATCACCACCTTCATCATTTTGTGAGAACTGTGGCAATATGCCCAGTGAGAAGGCAGATTTTGCCTGTGCTTCTGGTGAAGTAAAATAAAGCCAAGCCAAACAAACAAACATGCACTCGTTTTAGCACAGGGATATTCATCGTTCAGCTTGCGTTTGCTATGCTTTTACATGTACATAGCTGGAGCTCATCGATCCCCTTCCGTACCATTTTGCTCAAATTCCGTAATGCGGACGAAAGATTGATTTTCTGTACAAATACCGTAAAGTACCGCGAGAGCGCCCCACCATCTTGTCCTTTTGTGGTCGTATTGTGGAGGTGGCGGTGAGAATTCGGAGATCTTTTGCATATGTGAAGCGCCAAAGGGGCCGCAATCTTGATTGACACGAGTGTAGTACGGACTGTGCGTATGCAAAAGGGAATGTTGAACACTCATGATCAACACATGGCTTTTAGCAGTAGTTCGCATGCACTGGCCCCAAAACGCGGAAATCTCCAAGTTTCAAACACCTCTGAAGTTCAGAGAGGATATTAGAACACTTCTCGAACTTTTCCGAGAGGATTTAAGAACGCACCCTAAAGCTGGACATGTTTTCTATTGGGTCATCACTCACAGTGCAAGAGTCAGGCTTTAATAATATATCTAGGAAAGGTGTTCTATTGCTCTGATCGCGTCCAGCTCTAAACAGTCCTTTGACGTAGTCAGTGCAGGGTGCAGACCCATGCTTTGCCGACATGTATACGATTAATGTTCATCATGGCTGTTTTTGGAACCGGTTTTGCGCCGTCTGTTTGCAGACTGATCCAGTTTCCGTGAAGTTCGCCATTGAAGACTACAACGTGGTACATAAGTAAGTGCATGTTCATAGTCTGTTCAGTAGTAGTGTTCATAGTCTGTTCAGTAGTAGTGTTCATAGTCTGTTCAGTAGTAGTGTTCATAGTCTGTTCAGTAGTAGTGTTCATAGTCTGTTAAGTAGTAGTGTTCATAGTCTGTTCAGTAGTAGTGTTCATAGTCTGTTAAGTAGTAGGTGTTGAGTAGTAGGTGTGGTCACTGCAGCTCTCTCTCTCCGCGCTGTCACCGACGTCCCGTTATTGTACAGTCATTGTGTTACCAAGACAACTAACCCCCGCACACACACAAGGCACCCAACCCCGGGCCGGGGGCCAAGAACCAATTTTTATGGGCCTGTTTTCTAAACCATTGGGTAACACGCGTTTCAAACTCTGTCTTTACTCTGTTCATATCTTCTCTGTGCGAAGGCCTCAGGAGACCCGTCTCCACGTACACTGGCTTAACTTGGCGCTGGACAGCAAGTGCAAGATGATACAGGCTCGGATGGATTTCCTGAAGCAGGTACATTCTGCGGCGACATGATGCGACGCCTGCGTGCGCACACCGGTGTCTGACTTGTGTGCATATGTCAGAAATAGCCTACAAACTTGCAAGCAAAGTATCTATTTTCCGTAGCACACAGTAGCATAATATAGCCAATCATGTATTGTTTGGAATGGCCCAGTCCTTCCTTGTCCGCCTCTGTGTCTATTCTTCTTTGCAAGTCACAGAGTAGTGGTTACAAAGACTCGCGCATCGTACGAACAGGAGGATCTGAACCTTTTCTATGTGTACAGTGTCACTGTGTCATTATCCATACAAACAATTATCTTGAGCTACTCGCTATGTGTACTTGAATACTACTTGAAAGAGATTTAAATGTCTTAGTATCAATTGAATCCTAATATCAATCTCCACTTCAATACGTTTTCCTCATCCTTATGATTATCAATTTGAGCCTCAATGGAGTTTTGTCCTTTGTTCCCCACTCCCAGTACATAGACGTTAGCCTCTGGTGTGAGTATTCCTGCAACAACAACACCGATACAGGAAGCTGAATCACATCAGTTCAGGATAGAGCAGGGAGTAGTAGTATTTTACTACTCCCTGCTATATATGTTACCGTATTATCTCTATTATAAGCACAGTCTCCGATAATAGCACGTCTCCAATATTAGAACACCCTGGGACGGCATTCAAAAAATAAAGTGCTCAGTCTCCATTATAAGCACACTGTGTAAATTCATTATCTGTACCGGCGAAAAAAACCCTGAAATGTGTGTGCCATACATGAATTTGGCATGGCAACATGCCTCTGAAATGAGGTTGAAATAATAATGGAACAGTCTCCAATAAAGGAATGTCTCCATTAATAGCACGGGGCGGAGGTACATTGAAAAAATAAAGGACCGTGCTTATATTAGAGATAATACGTTATGTGATAAAATCATCAGTTGAGGTGCTTGGCGCTTTGGCATAAGTAGCGGCACGGCGTGGCAGCGATACACTAGCTGAAGTCAAGCTGTTGATTCGATTCCGCTGTATACACAGCGCCCATAAGCAGTTCTGCTGACTCACCGCCATGACATCATTTTGCAAAACCTCTAGATCCCAACAGCACACTGCAGTTAGGTGTTGTCACGGCTCCAAGCCAGCATTCACTACAGTCATGTATTTGAGGTTTACAAATGTCGGCAAGAGTACATAAACCAGAGCTTGCACTTCACTTTGCGTTTGGGAATGCGGAATTTGTCATTTATGGTATAGTAGGATGCCTTACATCAAAAGTGACGTAAAGACTAAACACGTTCTAAGAACTCGCATCCGTAGACGGTGTGTCAAACTCGGATTTACACTCCTGACGCCTGTGCTGCACAAACTACACACACATGTTGGAGCTGGAAGAGTTGTCAAAACACTTGCGAAGTTTATACTTATAGTCAAAATATTTCCTGTAGATTCATTTTTCGACGTTTCTGAAACTTTGCGAAAAGGATTGTACCAAGAGTACATACTAGTAAATAGGTTTATGTACTTCAGTACCGGTACTCTTGATTGTACTAGCACGCTTAGTCCTGCGGCCCAAATCTGAAAGACGTTGTTTTGCAAGTCCCGTTTCAGTCTCAAGCAGACAACCTGAGCTTTGCATGGGTGGAAAGACCATGTTCTAGGGATGTCGAAACGGCTTGTTGTCATGTCCAGAACTAGGGCATAAGCTGGGGAGAACCAATTTTAGGTTTCGTTACGGAAGTCGTTATTTTACGTTATTTTACGACTCCTTGATCGAAATTGGCAACATGTGATACGATATTTTATTGAAAATTAGTGCAGTCGATGTGAATTTGTTCTTGTGTTTGGATGATTTGTAGATCATGGTTGCCCTTTGCCGAGCGTTCATTTCCTATTGATGGTGATTAGAGATGGCACAGATTGATTTGTTGTAAAATTTGACCAAAACACCCCCAAATATGGATCTTTCGTATGAGAGGATTTCATTTATTGGGACACTATCTCATCAACACCAGCGGAAGAGAGCTAGCACGAGCGAAGCAAAGGACACCGGAAAACGGCAGAGTGATAGCGATCATAAGCTGATCTTAGCAAACGAGCGATATGGAAGATGTTGTAAATAATAGCGCAGTAGTGTATTTGTCATTTGCTGCAGAGTGGAAAAGTACAATTCAAATTCAAATCAATTCAAAAACTTCAATAGTGCGGTCCACCAGCCTTAGCTTTCAGACTCACTGTCCGATTCACAGTCGGACTTACAGTCCAATCCACTGTCGAAACTGCCTTCACCCTCATCATGGCATTGTGTGCATGCGCGCGCGCACGCACACTCGTACACACACCGCACAACACATGGCATTGTGCGCGCTCGCACACACACATACACAAACCCCACACGCACGCACACACACCGCACAACACATGGCATTGTGTGTGCGCGTCCGCGCGCGCGCGCGCGCACACACTCACACACCACATAGCACGCTAGAGATCAGCAAGAACCTGCTGCGACCGTGGTTGAGATGGCGCTGTAGAAGACACCGCAGCCGCCACTGGTTACCTCGCACCCGAGGTTGTAGTCAAAGCCGTACTAGCCGACACATCTGTACTGGAGGCTGATGTAGTACCCAAAGATGAAACTGATCCACTGGTGTTCACCTGACGCGGCGGCGTAGCGGATCCTTTGAAGCCGAAATGAGTGGGCAACACGACATAAGCGGGGACAAGCCCAGCGGATATCGCAGCGGGCCTATCGTAACTCCTGGCAGTGAGCCTATCGTAATTCCTGGTAGTGGGCCCGTCGTAACTCCTGGCATTGGGCCCGTTCTCTTGCCGGACACTGGGGTGCGGAGTGGACGTGGATGCGGGCAGGAAATCTGCGGCGACCGGCTGGACTGGGATGGTTGGGGTCGGGCCAGGTGCGTTACTAGTATGACTGTTCGGCAATGACTGGGTATTACCGGCCATCGGACCGTTTCCAGACGACACACAAGTGGTTGCTCCGTGAAGAGTGCGCCTGTATACCCATGCCACTTACCATACATGTCAATTGCTGAAGGAAACACACAGTTCAAACACAAAACGTAAATGAAACACGCCAATGAAATTCGATCCTTAAACAAGTCAAGTTCGCATGTCCGCGTTATCACGGGCTATACAATTGTGTTTAGAAAACAACCAGTTTATAATTCTGTCTCTTCTTGCATAAAGTCAGCCTAGAATACTGACGTCAGCTTTGGACATTACTCTGACTCGGACCACAAGCCCTGATTTATTCTGACCTACATGTGTATCGTGTGAAGTAGCGCGAGAGCCAAGCTGGTCATAATAATACGTGTAACAGCCACGAACGTAATTCAACCAAAGAAGACTACCACATTACATGAGCATGAACACTTGCATTCCATTTAATACATTCCTATGTTGTAGATGTCAGGCACTGTAGTGTTCACGTCTACATACACTTTGTGGCATTCCTTGGCCACCCAGACATTCATGATAGTAGCGCATCGTGAAATGAACTTAGCGGCTTTTAGTTGCTGTGCATGAGTCTGGACTCATGATCTGGTGTGTACATGCGATCATGTGATCTTGTAGTTGAGCGTATGTGTTATTTGGATTCCCTTGGTCATGACCAAACAATAAAACATGATCAAATTATTTCTACACATTCAACAATGCCAAGAACTCACCTGGTCCCCAAGTAGCTCATTATCTTCTTTTTCAGCATGAAAGTTGGATACTAAGGCGGAGTGTGATGGTCGGCCAAGCTGGTGCCGTTTGCAGTTATTGTACTTATCCGTGAGAAGCTTCATGGGCAAGGCCCTTGCAGACTTCAACTCGGACTGTATATACAGCACCAGGCTGTCAAATGTTTCGTAGGCCGACGGCTGGTCACTCCCTTTGCCACTTCGTTGCCGGTGTATAGTGGCCAGGTGGGTGAAGGCACTGTAGCATGCTCCGACGTTGATAGTGGATTTCCGCTGCAACGCAATCTGGGCCATTCTGGAGCGAAAGTCAAAATTCTTGCGTTGTTCTCCAACTCTGCTAGATGCACATGTCATGAGGCACAAGTCTGCAGATGTGGATTCAATCATTGTACATCTCTCCTTGTTCTACGCTTTGCTGGTACATGGTGTCCCATCATCACATACATGTATCTCCTCCAATTCAGAATGGCTTGAAAAGTCATGGCCACGTCCAAGTGGCAGCCGACCCAGCAACGTTTTGTTAGTGTATGTACTATAGCACTTGCGGTGGTACCATCCGCGGACGCTCTCCTCGGTGCAGTGGCTCTCGCACAAGAAGGTATAGCTCGTCCTGCCTGCATTTAGCAGCTTCAAACAAAGTTTCCCAACTCTGCAAAGTAAATCGGGTTTGCTTTTCCTGCGATGCATTGAACGCAATGGCACAAGCAAAATTCCCGCGATACAACGCCATTCCCAGGACGAGGCCTAAGAAGCTCCACGGCCTCTTCCTCCATCATGTCAAAAGGTGTCTACCATGCTGTGAGCGGTGGGCAGGAGGCACTCAAACAGCGCGAAACGCAACTACTATGCAACTACCAAACGAAAAATGCAATTCTACATTTCAAAGAGTATCCTGTCGGTGTCGTCGTCATCTTCAAAAATTTGAAAAAGGCGCTCCTTTCCGTGAACTGTGCACCCCCAGATGGTGCGCAGTATCGCCGACGAGAGCGGAGAAATTGGCTTCTCCTGAGCTTCTGCCCTAACTCTGAAGATGACAACAAGCGGAATCCAGGTCAGGTATACATACTTTAGGCCGTAGTGAAGAACCCAGGTTGTCTGCTTGAGACTGAAACGGAATTTTTTTTTGAAGTTTGGGCCGCTGGACTAGCTGTAGTTCATTGCGGTGGTACACTAAATCCGACCTGGCAAAAGCAGATCAGCGTTCACTGCGCGCATCAAGGTTTACAGTGACCGGTATGCACAGCCGTCGAGAGCAGAGAGCCCTACGCGCACATAGGGTTCCCTGCTCGAGATGTAATAGTCACAGAGTTGCATTTCACTTGCCACCGACAAGTCAGTACTAGTAACTCACTGCACGTGTCTGGTGAATGCACCAAACAAATCAAGCACACACACATATACACACACATACATGCACACACACACACACACACAAGTACACCAAAGCCAGTAGGTCAAGGCAATAGACTCAATGCAGCAATTAAATACGAGACACACAAATCAGCCAGCTGAATACACAAAACTGGATGGAGAACAGGTAGCTGGAATGCTGGGTAGCGATGCGGAAAATAATCCAATCAGCGACAATGACATTTTGTGAGTTTAAAAATAGAAGCAGATTTTACAAGACTTACAGATTTTCACCATGAACACACACCAGCATGCCAGCATGCAAGCCCAATACACAAACACGCACGCACACAGGCCTGCTATACGCCGAGGAATTCTACGACTTCATCAATTTCGCGACGCTTGGCCTCCTGATGTGCCCAGCGGTCCTCGGCCAGCTTTTCCGAGACGTTCCAGCGTTCATGGAATATGCGCTGCTCGCAGCCTTTCGCCTTGCACTTCTTACCACCTTTGAAGGGCGGTGTTTTCATGTAGTCATCTAGGCACTTACGGTGGTACAGGTGATTGCACAGGATACGCTCGATATGCTGCGCATCTTCCAGGTCCTCTACGATCCGTGCAGGGTCGTCGGGAAAGCAGCGTGCCTTGCACAGCGGGCAACATGTCATCGGATAGACGCGGGCGCACTCCATCACCAGGAACGTGGCCACGCGTCGCAGCGACGGAGCAGGCGTGAACGGCGGTGCACGCGGCTTTGGCCGGAGCGGTGGCTGTACACACTGGCGTGCCAGCTCCTCAGACTGCCCCGCCATGTACACCTGAAACTCACTCGGCAGACTGCTGGTCTTCAGCTCCATCTTCACCGGATCGGCTGGATAGTTGTCCGGGACGATGAGCTTGAACTGTGTGGCATAGTTACCCTCCACAACTCTCATTACTATCGTGCCAGCCTTTCTGTTGACTTTTATCTCGTCAGAGGGTCTGACTAGGTCTTTGCGGATATGGGAGAGTTCATCAGAGCATGCCATCAGTGGGTTTTCATCCATGAACGCTCTTACAAACTTCACTACTGGTAGCAGTTGCTTCTGGCCTAGGAGCTTCTTTGTCTCCGCGTCGCAGGCGCTCACTAGGCCATCTAAAAACTTCGTGGGAATAGTTTTGCTCTTCAGCTCCACCACGATTCGGCCAGCTGGATAATCGGCAGGGAATTGCGCCTGCACGACCAGGGTTTTGAAATCGGTTCTCCGCAGTCGAACTTGCACAGAACTGCGTACACAGCACACCACCTCGCTCCCTGGGACGTGCTCGGCAACATCCTTCCTAAACCTGGATAGTTCTTCTTCTATAATAGACATTTCACGAATGCTCGTCTGATGCAATGCACAACATTCAATACGTTTTGTCGACTAGATTTCAGTCTCCAGAAACGGAAAAATAGATCGCATGCACAAATAACTTATCCATTCAGTGCACCTGAAGACAGAATTTCTTTTAGTTTATCCACCCTCCACATTCAACAGCTACTTTCTCAAGGCAATGATGTCCAGAAAGTGAACATCTACTTGACAATGAACAACCATGAATGTCTGAAACTCAACGATTTCGAACAACAATGCAAGAACATAACTTGAATTATTTCGTCAAAAATTTCACATGGTTGGCATAACAACTCGGTGATCGTGTGAGTAGCCCTGGCAAAATGCGTGAATGTGTGGCGCCTTTTGGACTACAATTTCACTCTGCAATGTGTAGAAATGAGGATGGCAAGACATGAGCTCACATCACCTGAGCCCAAACTCCGTTGTCCGACCAAGTCCAAGGATAACGAGAAGCAGCATATGGCCGAATACTCAGGACCTGCGATGAACCAAGAACTGAGCCGGATATCGAGCTAGGTCACAGTGCAGAACTGGCCTCGTAATAACCAATATATTATTATTATTGCTTCGGTAACATCGATAGCTAGGAAGCGACATAGCAAGAGAAAACTGATTTCAACAGAGCGAGCAAGCTTTGCAGTCCAGGGCCGACCGTGAGTTCCTGAGTTGAACTAAAAGTGTAAGTTTCAGCGAGTCACAGTCATCGTAGACTAGTACCAGCAGTGAGATCGCACCAGGCCAGGGCCTGCAATCGATGCCCGCTACTTCTAGACTAAGCCGGCCAGATGGTATGCTCTGCTTCGACGACTGATCTCGGGAAAGTAGTAAGAGTTCTTGTGAACGACACCAGCAGTGGTGCAGCGACTGTGTGCTAGTCCCGGGATACCTTTACATAGAAACACAGTGCAGTGTGCTTGGATATCCCTCACAGTTACACAGAGTCGCAGTGCATAGCGCCAATAGACTTGTTGTGCAGTAGCTGGCGGCCTGCGCATAGTCCCCATACATGCAGCCAGAAGAACTGAGTCGGAAGGCTACAAAAGGTGACACTGGTTGTACACAGCCACCACTACTGCTGCTTCTGCAACTAGCACCACCAGCGAGTGGATCACGACTGCTGCTGCTATACTGATAGTTGCTAGCTGAAGAGATCATCTCCGCCCAGAACACGCCCACCTGGCCTGCTTGAACCATGCCTAGCAGAATCCAGCTGAAGATCGTCCTGCTGGGGCAGATGAACTGTGGCAAGACATGCCTGGTGACGCGCTACATCAGTGGATCGTTCAGCACCAGAGAGCAGTCAGTAAGGCATACATGTACATCCGAATCCACGGAATCCCATTCTGCCCACTGTTTCCGAAGTAAAATGCGGAATTTTTAAATTAAATTCAATCACCAGAAATTACGCATTCGTCGTATGCTTTTTTTTAACCCCACGTGCCCTGACTGAACGCCTTTGGTGCAGAGGAAGCTGTCCCGATATAGCAAGATTTTGCTTGTTCAGGGATGCACATTTGATCCACAGCACTTTGGTGCATGAAACTCGATTTGTCTGATCAATACACACACGGGACTCCGCTTGGTACATGGTCCGGCAAACATAAGTGTTACTGTATTGCCACGGATTTGTACAAATAATTGTGTACGTGAACCCTTTTCTACGGTTTTGTCGCGTGGATCGTACATGTAAGTAAGGACTTCAGGAGACATACCGGGTTGTTCTGTTTACATGGCCGGCGTACTAGTAATCCGCTCATTCTGGATTCGAGAATTTTAAAAGCTTGGTCAAGAATGTGTAATCAAACGTGTCAACTATGGACAATAAGCTGTAGAAGTAAAGGGCTTTCTCTGGCATACCATATTACTTCAGTACATGCACATGTAGTCAGAACTTCTTTATAATTGATCTGACACCTTTGTGTTGCCCTCCTCCTCTCTCACTTGCCCCCCCCCCCCCCCCCCCCCGTCTTTTCTCTACCTCCCCGTCTCTTATGTAGACGATAGGAGCAGCGTTCTGCCAAAGGGACATTTTACTGTCCAACGGTCAAACAGTCGTTGTAGGAATCTGGGTAAGTAGTGTACCAAAAGTAAAAAGAAACTCTTCACATACAGTACGAAGGATTAGCAAGACGAAATTCGCGTTCGCGTTCGCACTCCAAGGAAAGTCGAACTCAGTGACGGAATTCGCGTTATGAGGATTAGCAAACAGAATTCGCACATGCATGACGTTGACACGACGTACATTGACTTTGTGTACAGACAGTACAGAGTGGTAAATTTATGACTGCCCTGACACGAATCCGCGATTCGTGTTCCGACTACTTTTCCGAACAAAAGATGCGGAACTGAAAATTTTTTGCGAACGTGAATTTCGTCTTGCTAATCCTCCGTAGTAAATGCTGTGGTGTGTGTGTTAATGTGATGTGTGTTAATGTGATGTGTGTTGATGTCATGTGAGTTGAATATTATCATGTACATGTAGCTGCCATACCGTTTCTGAATGCAACAAAAAGAAGACCGTGGGTTCTTGCTACTATTGTATGCATGTACAGTACTAGGGGGGGGGGGGGGGGGGCTTTCTGAAGGAAGACCCTCTCAGCCCCCCCCCCCCCCCCGACCCATTCAAGTCTCTGTTCTGTTACATACATATACCGGTACATTGATGAAGCACATTGATGCCACTGAGCTGGTTGTTTTCCAATTTTCTACATGTATACGAACATGCAGGATACGGCGGGCGCAGAACAGTTCCAAGCCATGAGCTCACAGTACTATCGTGGTGCGGGCGCTGCTATCATCTGCTACGGTCAGTCTCGAGAAATGCCGGGCTCGTTTATCAATCATTTAGTGGCCTGTGGTCATGATCCCTTCTGCACTATCATGTGACAACTGTTAATCTGCCTAGTGTGCCAGAGGTCACATCACAACTGGTGACCGAGTGACTTTTCCCTCTTATGTAAAACATATCGTGTGTGTGTGTGTGTGTGTGTGTGTGTGTGTGTGTGTGTGTGTGTGTGTGTGTGTGTGTGTGTGTGTGTGTGCACATGCATATGTACATGTATGTGCATGTGTGTGATTTGAATGGTGCAGACATTACACAGGAAGCAAGTTTTGCGAAGGCAAAGTGGTGGGTTGACCAGTTGAAAGAAAACGAGCCGGTAGGTTGCAAACTCTTGTTTTCCTTTGTTCTATGCTGGCCACCATCACCACTGATTCACTGCAACTGGTCATGGTGCTGGCTTGGATATACATGACTTATCTTCTGCACTAAGGATCATCCACAAAATAATACCAATAATAATAGTACCGATGAAGCAATTCCACCTCAAGCAATTCTACCTCCACCACATGCGCTCTCTGTACCCTTTGAGTACAATAATACTGCCTGATGATTGCGCGAGCATGAAAGTTGAAGTAGCAGCAAACAAGCCTTGATTGTCCTTGTTGTTCCGTTGTGTAATACCGATCATATTACCACTATGTTGTTTCGGTTGGTTTGGAAGGGAGGGGTATATGCCCATTGCCACGGCAAGGGGGTTGTGAGACATCAGTAGTATATGAAGCTAGGTGTACTGTGACTAACAAGCTGCTGTTGATCGCGTTTCAAGAAGATATGCCACTTCACTTAGTTACAAAATGCTGATCCCCTGTATAAATGTGTGCATGATTGGTTCGAAAGGGGGTGGGGGAGGAAGGGAGACGGCGGGAAGGGGTCTGGTGAGAAATGAACAAATATAATAGCAGTTAGGTTCACTTCCGTTAGATAGTGACAGGACCGGATGACACCTTGATTTGTTCTCTCTGCATGTCGCATATCCTGTGTTTAGGATTGTCAGATCTACCTGGCTGGTAACAAGCTGGATCTGGTCAAGGATCAGGGACACCCGCGGGCTATAGATCGGCACGATGTCCTTGATTACTGCAACAGTACGTCGTCTGCTTAATCCACACATTGTGTTGGCTTTTGACTGGCAATGTATAATTATGTACCTTGCTTGCCAACCTACATATACGTATTGGGAGCTGTGTCCTTCACAGTCACTGAGGTTATCTGCCTTCAAATGTTTGTCACTATTGTAGCTGCCGGCGCACATCACAGCATGATAATGCCATACTGGTATGCAGTCCTTGTCTAGTTCACATTGCGGGTTCCTCTATTTCTGGTTCTCCAAGCCCAGCATGCTCATGAGGCAAATGGAGGATGGGGCGAACCGTGATGGTAAATGAAAGGTAGCATCTCTCGTTCGATGTGCTCGGCTTGAAACCAATGGGGTAATGGAGTTGGAGTAGAGGAAATCATGCGCTAATGTTCATTTATTTCTGTGAGGGAAAGGTGTAAATGGGAATACGGGATATGTTCATCAACTTCATTCCCATATTGCTGTCACTTTTCTGGGTCTGCATCAAATTGCCAGCAACGCTTTGAATAATATCTGCTTTGTGCAGCTGTGTGTGGTTGGTGATGGGTGTATTGCCCAGGTCTGCAGATAAAGACAGTCCTGGCATGTATTGTACACAGCAGTGTCACATGATGCTTCGCTTCAACACTATTCAGACGTATATGCTGAAGTCGCTTTACAGGTAGAAATCGACAGGGCGCGAAATTAGAATGATAGGGAACAGGTGTCAATAGTGCTTTATGCTGGTACTCTGTGTTGTCTCTTGTGCATCCTGCACAGCGGTCGACGGGGAATTCCTGGAGACATCATCAAAGACGGGCGAAAACATAGGTATGTGCCTCCCTGCTCTGGGCACCTGAACTACAGTGAAACCTCGTTAAGAAGAACACTGATAAAACAAACTTTCGCTTTAGAATAAATAGTATCCATGGTAACTCTATTGGATAAAACACTGTGTATTCATTGGGTATAAAATATGGATAAGAAGAACTCCCGTTATTGCAAACAAATACCACCGGTCCCTTGGTGTTCGTCCTAAAGAGGTTTGACTGTACATGGAATACGGGTGTCATGTACTCAGCCTGGAGGACATGGAGTTTAGTGTGGTCATCGCATGTGTCAGCTGGATACGAGCAAGTGCTGAATTTCGTTTGGTGAAGCAAGCAACCGAAAGCTTGCTCCTAACATGTACTTGTAAGGTTGAGTGCCACAATACTACTACTACAATCATACCGGCTCGGTTATCCGGACACCAAAGCTACGGGCACTTCGGTCTACCGGGCACCTTTTGGACGAGTTTCAGTGGAAAGAGTATTGCTCTCTTGTCACTTTCTGTGGAAATAGTGACGTCACATGCCATATCTATGGCCTCAAGTTCCCCATCAAAATGTATGTGGTTCGGAGTTACACGGGACATTTCAAAGTTGCGGGGGGCAGTGCCCAGTCGTGGACCATTGCCTGGATAAGCGAGGGCAGTGCCCAGTCGTGGACCATTGCCTGGATAAGCGAGGGCAGTGCCCAGTCGTGGACCATTGCCTGGATAAGCGAGGGCAGTGCCCAGTCGTGGACCATTGCCTGGATAAGCGAGGGCAGTGCCCAGTCGTGGACCATTGCCTGGATAAGCGAGGGCAGTGCCCAGTCGTGGACCATTGCCTGGATAAGCGAGGGCAGTGCCCAGTCGTGGACCATTGCCTGGATAAGCGAGGGCAGTGCCCAGTCGTGGACCATTGCCTGGATAAGCGAGGGCAGTGCCCAGTCGTGGACCATTGCCTGGATAAGCGAGGGCAGTGCCCAGTCGTGGACCATTGCCTGGATAAGCGAGGGCAGTGCCCAGTCGTGGACCATTGCCTGGATAAGCGAGGGCAGTGCCCAGTCGTGGACCATTGCCTGGATAAGCGAGGGCAGTGCCCAGTCGTGGACCATTGCCTGGATAAGCGAGGGCAGTGCCCAGTCGTGGACCATTGCCTGGATAAGCGAGGGCAGTGCCCAGTCGTGGACCATTGCCTGGATAAGCGAGGGCAGTGCCCAGTCGTGGACCATTGCCTGGATAAGCGAGGGCAGTGCCCAGTCGTGGACCATTGCCTGGATAAGCGAGGGCAGTGCCCAGTCGTGGACCATTGCCTGGATAAGCGAGGGCAGTGCCCAGTCGTGGACCATTGCCTGGATAAGCGAGGGCAGTGCCCAGTCGTGGACCATTGCCTGGATAAGCGAGGGCAGTGCCCAGTCGTGGACCATTGCCTGGATAAGCGAGGGCAGTGCCCAGTCGTGGACCATTGCCTGGATAAGCGAGGGCAGTGCCCAGTCGTGGACCATTGCCTGGATAAGCGAGGGCAGTGCCCAGTCGTGGACCATTGCCTGGATAAGCGAGGGCAGTGCCCAGTCGTGGACCATTGCCTGGATAAGCGAGGGCAGTGCCCAGTCGTGGACCATTGCCTGGATAAGCGAGGGCAGTGCCCAGTCGTGGACCATTGCCTGGATAAGCGAGGGCAGTGCCCAGTCGTGGACCATTGCCTGGATAAGCGAGGGCAGTGCCCAGTCGTGGACCATTGCCTGGATAAGCGAGGGCAGTGCCCAGTCGTGGACCATTGCCTGGATAAGCGAGGTCACAGTATGAGTAGTGTACTAATACCAAAGTAAACTGTCGCGGATAAAAGCCGTAGGGCTTATAAGCACATAAGCCGGTTTCTGCATCAGGCTTTAATGCGAACCAGGCTTGTATGCAAACCATGCTTATATGCACTACTGATATTTTTTGCCAGGCTTGTATTCACGTTTACTATGCACTGTACATAGTGCATGCACTCTTGACCTACACGATCCGCGCTTGCACAGAAGCCAGGCTTCTACTTGTACGCGCGACAGGCTTATATGCATTTGACCCGTTTGATTTTCAGGCTTCTATCCGCGATGTGCTTGTATGCAAACCCGGCTTTTATCCGCCACTTTACGGTATGTGTTACGGTTAGGAGGGTGGTGTCTTTACAGATTATGATATCAATGCTCTTTTGTTGATGCTTCCTCAGAGGAGCTTTTCCAACTCATCGCCAAGGACTACAACCGTGCGCGGCCAAAACTGGAAGAAATCAAGTTGAAAGGTAAGGGAAATCAGTCACAAGCAAAATGCCAACTTCCTATCATCCACACTCCGTGATTTTCAGTACAGCTGCGTATATTTCTAGGGCTCAAACGGTCACTGTTTTACCCCTAACGGGTAACTGCTAAGCTAACGGTCGGTTTAACAGTTATAACCTATAAGCCACGGCAATCCTGCAGACTCTTTTTTAACCGTATATTTGACTATGCTCATTCAAAAAAAATGTACCCTATTCAGTACAACACACACATGTACATTCTCTTGCATGCTCATTCATACATACTCTCACACCAAGAGACCAGATATGACTGAGTTGACAGCCTACGCGTGCGACAGCCTGCGAAAGTGCATACTTTGCAACGACCTGATACTTGAAAAATTGACTGAAAAGTTACTGCGTAACCGTTATCTTTATCGGTTAACCGTTAATTCTTCATAACCGGTCTGCAACCGGTTAATCGGACTAACCGTTTGAGCCCTATATATTTCCAAGCGATTTCTTGGAGATAAAACTGTAATGAGACCCAGGAATAAAATACGCTTCGGCCGGCTTTACAATCAACATCTCAAAATTGCCACCAGCAAGATGTCCATGGGAATCATCGCTTTACTCTTCTGCCTGTATCAACCTGAAGAAAAGGCAATGAAAGTGCTAGTGTAAATTTGAAATGCTGATGGTAAAGAGCCTGAAGCTTATTTATTTCCCAGTCTCATGTATAATCATTAAAAGAAGAATTTAAAACATACTCGCATTTCCGTTTTGCATTCAGTAGCGATACCGTAGCCGACTTTTAAAAGGGTGTTTGTCTCTATGGAGTATTGCGCCGGAAGAGTAAAATATGACCTGTGCACATATCAAAATGTTGCAATATTTGTAACCTGGAAATTGTGGGCACAAGTTATGCGATCGATTCCACCAACTAAACCAGATTTTGAACAGTCAGACGTGCACCTTCCCCTCTTATTAGCACTAATATCCATGAACCTTCCAAGTTGGAAGGCCGTTGGTTAGCGCTATCGAGCAGTGCTCAAGCTGACTTTCATGCCGTGGAATGTATCAGTACTCCTTGTCAGTTTTGTGCTAGATTGTGCACGTCTGACTGTTCAGAATCTGGTTTAGTTGGTGGAATCTGTTGTGACAACTGGATTTAGGCTCCAGTCATTTCGATGGCGTGGGTTCGAATTCCACCGCTGCCACCATGTTGTGTTGTCAAGAAGAACCCTTTATTTCTCATCAACATCCGTGGATAAAGAAGCACATAAAAGGTGTATGCGTGCGTGCATAGCGAGGGCACGTGCGTACGGGATACGTGCACAGTGCAGACTACTGTACTACTACAATAGAATCGATCGCATAACTTGTGCCCACAATTTCCATGTTACAAATGTTTTCCTTCGCTCACCATCTGAGTTCTTCTTGCAATATTTATTTCAAATTATAAACTAACTTTGTTACAGTAAAGCAAGCTGCATTTTAGTTTTTTTAAGGATAAGGCCACACTTTGTTTTTTCTATGTTTCTCGTCGGCAAATTTTAACAAAAGGTACGCGGGCGGGCGGAAAAAAAACAAAAGCCAAGGAAAAAACAAGAACAATTTCTACTGAAAACTGTATACATTTTACAATGTACATGTATATGCGTGATTGATACAAGACACTGCGTATACCATGTATACAGTACTACATTGTACAATCATGTACATGTAGTCCCATACATGATTGCACTACATTATCACATCAGCCCACGAATATCAGGCAAACTGCAACAATGTCCATGAGAGCATAAAGTTTGATTACGAGATGGCGAAGAGAACATACATTTATCTGCTATCGCATCAACACACGTCTCCCACTCGTCATTAATTTTTGGTTTTGTTACTTCTAGGGGTCAAACGGTTGTACCGGGTACCCGGGTACCCGCCCGTTAATCTCAGGTACCGTTAGTAAAAGGGTACCCGTTTGTAAAAAAAAAAAAAAAAAAAAAAAAAAAAAAAAAAAAAGTGATCCTGTCGTATTCCAAGACTCAAAATAGGAGTGCGGATACTCTTTTCCTTTTTCCTGTGCATTCCCGCTTTCGACTTTATCAGGCAGGAGCAGGCTGAAAGACAGACTTGACAGTTGTTCTCTTCACTCTAGTACAAGTAAAAATCCTCGTACTGGAGGTTTTTGATTGTGATGTGAGAAAATGCAAGACTTGAAACTCGTTCGAGGTGGCAGCTGAGTACTAGTAACTAGAAAGTTACGATGGTTCTCCGACATCGAACCTGCCACAGTACTTGATGAACTAGGTGACCAGTCGGAGTGTCACACACGGTGATGTCCGTAGGTGGGAGCTACATGTATGATACTCATGGTTGTAGTTTGTTCCTTCAATCGACGAGCTGAAAAGTAGTTCGAAATATTGCATACAAGATTACGGATTTGTGAAGATTCATTTCACGAGTTCAACAAGCTAGCACAAGCAGCTAGCTGGCCAGCAGCACATCACCTGTGTCAGGCACCCCAGCTAGCTATGGGTGCGAACATCTTCTGAATGCAACGCCTTGCATGGCTTGAATCACATCGATCTGCAGTTGATTTGCGTACATGTATCAAAATACATGTAGCTTGTAGGACCATCTACATGTATGATTGTAAGTTACTGCCTGTGAAGTTATGTACATGGGCAAATGCACGGATGACATTCATTTGGAACCTTCATTGCCATAATAATATTATGATTCACGAATCAATTGCGAATCATAATGACTTGTAGTATCAAAATACAACCTGAGAATATACAAATTTAAATCATGATTTATGTGAGAAATGCGCAAAAAAATAATATGGCTGCTAAAGGGTACCCGTTAACCCGCCCGTTAAGAAAATTACCCGTTCGTTAGTTAAAGGTACACCCGTTTGACCCCTAGTTACTTCAATGTTCTTGTGTCCGCTTATCAAACTCTTGTCTCCGCTTATCAAACTCTTGTCTCCATGCTGCTCATCTTTTTTTCTTGCCATGCGTATTGCTTGGATTTTCTGCATACGACATCGTTCCACAGACGCCAGTTGCCGCGGAACTCGTCCGACTTACTGTTCCTGGGACCCACGAGGCTCAGCTCAGCCAGTGAACGACTGAAAGCTTCGTCATGACAGCCTTCATCGCAGAGAACGGACGAGGAGCGCTCCTTTGCTGCATGCTGTGGTGCAAACGTTTATGATTATTGATTGACACATCTAGCTGCTGCAGCGTACATACATGTACATGTACGTGGTATGAACTTTTTTTTTCTTCCGAAAATTCTGAAAACCTACGCGGGCGATGACGAGAAACATAGAAAAAACAAAGTGTGGCCTAAGGGAAAATGAAAATGTTGCAGCTACTCAGCTGAAAAGCCTGAATCTCCTTTCTACAATGTATGTACGTGCAGTTCATTCTCTCATCGCTTTGATACTGTGTGCACGTATAGATAGCCGCAGCACAACAGATGGAGTGCTTCGCCTTGATCAACCAGACAGCCGCGGAGCATCAAGACGACAGGCGGGCGCAGCACAGGCACAGCAAGGCCAGCAGTCCGCGCAGGGGGACAGCGGCGGTGGCTGCGCCTGCTAGGACGCGTTTACACAACACACCATGCACTGAATTGCCAAGAAGCGGATATCTTCACTGAAGTGACGCGTGTTGGATTTGAATCCCGCAGCTATGGTGGATGGATGTGTTCCTCGGCTCACTGGATTCTGTCAGCACCGTATACATAGTGTATGAGGACTTGCAGAACCGAACAGCCAACCCGGTCACAGTCATGGTACCGATGCTCCATGGTATCTAGGTAGGTTTGAATTTCTCCGCTCAACAGACTATACATGTTTATGAATTGAGCTAGGTTGGAAAACTGTTCAAATTCCGGAGGTGCTGTAACGCCTGGCGAAATATTGGATGTGCACTGCAGTCCCCTGTGCTTCTTGACGGTAGGCCGGATTTCAAAATGATCACTTATGGGCAGGTCTCATGGGGGAGGGAAGAGGACTGCAGGAAAGTCCCCCTACAAGACACTCCAATACATTTCAGAGTATGATACATTCAGGAAACAGCTAGAAATGTCCTTCAAAGATTATTGTTCCCGTGAAGCATTGCTAGTCATTTCATCTTGCAGCATCGTCTATTTCTACAATATATTTTCTGACTATTACTCAAGTTCAAAGTACAGAGCCTGAATGAACTCTTCATCATAAGTACTCGTACATGTATATCATTCGTTCTCTCCAATGGATATGAAAGGGATCTGTTATTTTGAAAAGAACTCTATTTTTACTGCCTTCAGTGTTCACGTACATTCATTCGCAGTCTCAGTGATTAGCAATCCTGGTTTCCAAACATTTTGATTCCGTGATACACCCAAGAGGGTTCTTTAGGCCGGTCTCACTCAGTCAGCCGGAGACTCCGAGACGAACGACTTGAAAGTTGTGCAATGGCACTATACAGCACTAGAGCCACAAATATGACGATACCAGCACATCAGTCACCCTGGTTGGTCAACAAACTAAGGGACGAGAACCACGAGTAGTTGAGAATTTTGCGTGTGCCAGCTGCGACCTAGTACACATACATGTACACATACTTCCGGATTATCGGTGCATTTGCAAGACTAGTGCAGACCCTCACACATTAACACAAGGAAGTTATGCAATAGCATCAGTGCTAGTACTATCTTGATTCAGTAGTACATGTATCAATGCAACGTATGAAATATAGCCCGAACATGGCGTACCGTAGTCGTCCCTTGCCCTCCCCCCCCCCCCCCCCCCCCCCATACACACACACGATGTAGGTGGGCAAGCGAAATCCATACTTGGCTGTACCTGCATTTGTACATGTACATGTACTTATTAACTGAGTACTGAAGTGCAAACATACATCATCAATTTGCATGCCTTGATTGAAACTGCCAAGTACCAAAAGGGCGTTTGCCAAAGTGATGCAGATTTGCCGCAGGTAGCCCTGGCCTGTGAGCCTGTGTTTGGTTTATGCTGAATATGCATGATGGATTGTTTCTGTTGGCAGTGCAACTTGAAGTCTATTTCCTGTTACAGTCTGTTGGGATCAGATCTCCCCGCCTCAGTTTTCGCACTAGCTGAAGTGTCGTGCTTCTAGGTTAATGAAGGCGGCAGGGATACCCGTGGTAGTCAGGGATACCCGTGGTAGTCGTCTGGCCCTTTGGTATATTGGTGTCAGTATGAAGTGAGCCAGGCACTGCCCACACTGTAAACAGTGTAATCCTGTCCAGCTGCTAAGTGCCAGGACACAACACACCCTGGACAAGTACATGCACAATGTACATATTCACGGTTTAATACTTGCCTGGCTCTCCATGTTGTTGAATACTTCAAGATACTTGTAGACTATTTTAGAGAATCTTATAATAATTATTATAGACTCAGCTGGCTTGCCATGACCGTGGCGTGGTTCATACATGCCAGCACGTGCACTGGAATGGGGTCTGGTGATTACGTTACTATGTTAGAGTGTGTATTGAGTGACAAAGCAGTTGTGTGCAAGTAGTGCACTGTTTGCCACTCAATGCAAAACTAGCCGGTTTCTCCTTAGTACTAGTACTAGTATTTCCACATGTACATATACCACATACCGGTACTAGAAATGGTGTTCAACTTTTGATGGTTCACATGCTGTGCCTAGCTAGGGGGGGGGGGGGGAGGGAGTGGCATTTATTTCCACATCTGCATAATATTCAAGTACTTTACCTCAAAAGTCAAAGTACAATGCAACTGACCTGAGGAAGCCCCAGACGTCCTTGAAAAGACGTGGATCTACGACGTGACTGGATCGCTTGATAACAAAACATCTAATTATTTCTAATACGTCATGTACATTCAACCAGCGCTTTGGCCGAGTGGTTGTGGGCTTGCCTGCGAATCACAACGTCCCGAGTTCGAGACCCGCGCTGGGAGCAGGGAGCGTGTACTGTGCTAGCAAATGCGGTGATGCATGCGTGAACCACTTTACATGCAGTGAACTGCGCCGACACCAACGGTCAACTGGGTCCTCACTACTCGGAGTGAGGGTCACATGGATGCAGCTAACGAGGTTAGCCCCCTTGTCGGGCATTGCCATTGGTTGTGAGACTTACCACCTCACCCTCGCCGTTTATAATACTATACTATAGGCGCTGCATCTGTCACCCTGGTAGCACAGGCATGGTGGTGGCCTGGCACACACGAAACTTCCTAAGCTGGTTGTGTTTCTCAACGCAATTGTATAGCCGGTAGTAACGCGGACGTGCAAACTTTACTTTCTTTTTACGTGACTTGTATACTCGCTAAAAAATCTGCCCAATGCTGCACATGGTTATTGGTAGTCGACTACGATGCACGCAACAATAATTGATCGTTTTGGCCAAAACAGTAGCTACATCATCCGCCATGATGATGATGTACATGTAGATCTACTAGTACTACTACTTGTAGTACTCCACTGATCTTGCGGTCAAGTGCTTCCCCGACCCCAAGCTGAGATGCCACACCGTGCTGAAGAAAGCTGGGGCAGTGGGGAATATCAGTTTCCTTTCCCAACTCTAAACTATATTCTTACTTATTATATTTCGGATAGTGCGAGGCAGAGTCACTGAGCCAAAAGGTGTAGTGCAGTGTGCTTGGATGCAGTGCTGAAGTGTCACTGTGAAGAGAAAGCCAAGCAGAGTCAGCAGCCTACATGATTGTAGTGTAGAGCACGGGGCGAATACGAGAAGATTGGAGTCAGTAGAACTGTTATGACTGTCACACGCGGCTTTTACGTTTTAGTTCTAGATTCATCAGTCTTCACCTGTACTACCGGTATACCCCGTACCCGGCCTGGTCTCAAGTAGGTAGATACTCAGTTGAACTCAGAACTAAAAGTTCCTATTCGGATCGTGACCTGGTGACAGGTTAGTTTCATCATCATCATGGTAGACCTACAAACCATGATATGCATTGGTTCTGTAGTCTAGCTAGACTGTCTGTATGCAGTAGATCTACTATGCACACAGACAGTCCACATGGTGCTTAGTGGACTCTTGCCTCTTCCACCTCACTCCTCAGTCCAGCTGCAGCAGCACAGGCTACACTACACGTACCTACAATCATCACTGCCCCAGTATTCGTCGCTGAGGTCTGTGAGTGTGAGGAGGCAGCGTGACACTGCCTGCTTTACTGCCAAGTGCCCTTCGTCATTCAGTGAGCTGATCCGCATAGCACTACCACACAGCAGGACAATGTATGATTTTCGATTATTTTTATTATTAAAAATAATGTGTCACTGCACTGCACAACATTGTGTCAGCAGTGGTGAATCATGCACACGTCACGTGTCAAAAGAACTAACAGTACAATCGCCATGCATGCACATGTATACAGCCGCTGAGCCAGTGTTTCTTATGACACATGCACATGTACGTTGTGTGTGTGTGTGTGTGTGTGTGTGTGTGTGTGTGTGTGTGTGTGTGTGTGTGTGTGTGTGTGTGTGTGTGTGTGTGTGTGTGTGTGTGTGTGTGTGTGTGTGTGTGTGTGTGTGTGTGTGTGTGTGTGTGTGTGTGTGTGTGTGTGTGTGTGTGTGCAGGGCCGGAGGAACGAGCTTGCGAGTGGTCCGGCCGAAGTCCAAGGGGGGTGCGGGGGATCTCCCCCGGGAAATTTTTTGAGAATTTAAGTGAAAATGAGCCAAATTGGGCATCTCGTGAGAGAGATGGGCAGATGTGACGGATGGAACTATATACAATTAGTAACAATTAGGCATCAGAATTGGGAAATTATTCGGAAAATTTACGTAAATATGAGCCAATTTGGCATCTCGTGAGAGAGACAGACAGATGTGACGGATGAAACTATATACAATTAGGAATCAGGATTGTTCTGGAAAGATGTCTATTGAAACTTTCCAAAGATGTTTAACCGATGCTCATTGGCGGCAACGAAATCATCACCACACTGCCGCAAGCTGAGCAAATCTGCTTTGTCCTTGTGGACATGCAGCAGAATTATTATTATTATTATTATTTGAGGGATTCCCCAAAGGCCGAAGCCTAAATCAAGGGGGTCTCCGAGAATAAATATACGTGTACAATGCGTGTGCAATAGGGTGCAATTCTTAAAAGAAAGAAAATATTACGATAAAAAAAGATTAATGTGAAGAGGTTAAATAAGAAGTCTGAGTAGAAGCAAGCGAAAAGGGTACTGGTAAAGAAGGGGGGTAATCAGGAAGTGAGAAAACCTCGAGGATGGAATCTATACCTGTGGAAATGGGACTTAACGTGCCGGCTAAATACACCACGGGTTTCAGATATCCTAATCTCGGTAGGCAGGGAGTTCCACGTGGTGATCATGGAATGTAGTAGAGTGGATCGGAAACAGGGACCAGTGTGAGTGGGCAGGAGGTAAAAGTGGGGACGTCGTGCACTCTTGGATAGAACTATGTTGAGATTATTGAGGGTTTCCGGGTATTGGCGGGTGAAATGGTAAAACAGTTTGAGGCAATGTATATGCCGCCGCCACGCAAGACTTTCCCATTCAGCAGCTTCAAACACGTTCTCCATGCCATGAGGAATGGGCACTTTCCGACGGTGTAAATACTGCCTGGCCACGCGTGCTTGCAATCGTTCCAAAGTGTCAATATTTCCTGCGGTCAGTTTGTTATTCCACAGAGGTGAAGCATACTCAATGGAGGGACGGACGTATCCTTTGTAGAGGCGGGCAATGAGAGCAGGGGTCAGATTGGGTGACATGTAGGATAGCAGAACAACGCGACGACGAAAGTTGGAGGTGACACTATTGATGTGGGTCTGGAAAGACAGGCGGGGATCCAGGGTGATTCCTAGATGGCGGTGGGTAGTCGAGGGACATAGGTCTGCAGCATCCACACGCAGAGAAGCAAAGCATTAAGGCGAGCCTGGGCCATTGTGGTGCGGAGATAGGTTTTCAGTCGTCGAAGAGCTGAAAATGACCTCTCGCTGGTGGCATTGCTTGCAGGCATGACGAGGATAAGCTTCATGATGGCAAATATCTCCGACAGTAGTTCCCTACCTCTACCAAGGTTGAGGAGGGCTGTCTTGATCGTGCCAATTGAGATGTTTCCACCTCCTGTGCACAAGGACTTGAGCAGCGGCAGTTGTGTTTGCAACAGTGGAACATTGATGTCCGTGGCGTACATGTCCTCAACCCGTGCCAGCTCAGCACTGCAATCATCTCCATTGGCAGCCTTCAGGACAACTCCCTCCAGGCAGCTGTACACTTTGTACCCTGGCTGATCAAATCGCTCTTTGATGCATGCCATCACAGTATCAATGGCGGCAAAGTAGATGGGCTTGTAATGGTCAGCAGGGCTTTCAGGATAGTGA